TAATTCATTACTTTCATAATCTGTTAAAGATAAAAGGTCTGTGTATTCTTAAATGTAGGTACGGTACACGTATATAAATAGGATATCAAGAGGTGATATGTAAAAATGTAAATGTAGAAATGTAAATTTTTATCGCGATGACTAATTGTAACTAAGTGAACCCATGTTAAACGGGATATACATATGTACACAAAACATAACACCACGCCTTTTATCCCCGAAGGGGTAGGCAGAGGTGCACATTATGGCACTTAATGCCACTGTACAATGTAACATCTACTTTTCACAATTTATGTTATGAGTTCCATGCAATAGGGGGTAAGCCTATTGCCATATACCGGGCACATTTCCAGACTCCGTGCCGTGCTACTACTGAGATTTTTAAAAACCCAGTAATACTTTGCCCGACTCAGGATTCGAACCCGAGACCCTCTTGCCCGGCAGTCGCACTTGCGACCATTCGGCCAACGATGCAGTCACATATACATATGTATTACTGGCAAAATACTATCTATAATAACCTATTATAAGCTATGTATATATGTATAGTACCTTAACTTACCTAGTATACGAATAGCTGTATCGTGTGGTCCTTTTAGTATAACATGTATCTATATAAATACCTTAGCTAGTTCATCTTCACAAAGATCAATACAGTCTTTTAAAACCCCTCAGATCTAATCTATCGCAAGGAAGCATTCTGAAATGATTTTCGTGAACAATACAAAGGCCATTGAAAAGATAAAAATGTATTTTTCTGAGATAATATTGTCTGTTTCTGGGATAGGTAGAATCTCCCCTTATATACAGGGTGTAGACAAAGCTGTCGGCAAGGGTCGGAAGACGTGACGACGCATCCTGTCACCACCTCTTAGGAGGGTCGCCATGAAGCTACAGAGTGTTTGCTTTATGTGAAATTATGGAAAGATTTATTCAAAAAATATATGACGAGAATAAAGAAAGAATGAAAGTAGTGACGTAGAAAATGTTAAAACTCCAATTTATGGAGAAGACTTCTGAAACTAGAGTTCCTAATTATAATAAACAAACGAACATAAAAGGAAATGTAAAGGAAACCCTTTAAACTAAATAGCAGGTACATACCCCATATTCTACTACATATAAATATCACAGCACATAACCTCGTTCTGCTTAACTCGTAGTACGTAGCTCGTAGTGCGTAGCCCGTAGCTCGTAGTGCGAAGCTCGTAGTGCGTAGCCCGTAGTGCGTCGCTCATAGCACGTAGGTCGCAGTGCGTAGCCCGTAATGCATAGCTCGTAGTACGTAGCTCGTAGTGCGTAGCCAGTAGTGCGTAACCCGTAGTGCGTAGCACGTAGTGCGTAGCCCGTAGTGCGTAGCCCGTAGTGCGTAGCCCGTAGTGCGTAGCCCGTAGTGGGTCGCTCATAGCACGTAAAATGTAGCTCGTTGTGCGTAGCCTGTAGTGGGTAACCCGTACTGCGTAGCTCGTAGTGCGTAGCCCGTAGTGCGTAACCCGTAGTGCGTAGCTCGTAGTGCGTAGCCCATAGTGCGTAACCCGTAGTGCGTAGCACGTATTGCGTAACTCGTAGTGCGTAGCTCGCAGTGCGTAGCTCGTAGTGTGTGTAGCTTGTAGAGCGTAACTCGTAATGCGTAGCTCGTAGCTCATAGAATATCAATCTTTTTAGCTACATTTTCCCAAAATACTAAAATATAACAATATAATAACAATTATTCCCACCCTTATTACAGTCCACTTACGCACGAACACTCGCAATAATCTTTATTGAGCAGTCGAGTTATCTGATCGCCACGTTACATATTGTTGTGTCACGTTCTAATATAGACAGGCAGCAGAACAAGCTACACCATACTGATAATGTTATGTAACTGAATTGGTACAATGGGGGATAGCAACGTGATGGTGGCTGTACCAACAAAGCAGTAAGGACCTCCTGATTCTTACGTACTTACATAGATAATATGATTGACTTATGTCATCTATGAATATTATCAGGAACTATATTTTATATTATGTGTTAACTTAATAATAAATGTTAAATAAAAACACCACTTAATTCATTTTAAACGATTGTAACTTATACATAGATATTTATGTGGATAAAGAACCAACAAGATTTCATACAACACATTACACAACACACCACTTCTCGCAAAATTTCCCACAGCACACACACAAACATACATAAGTATAGAATTAACTGAATATTACAAAGCACTTCGCGAATCACTTCACATTATTACACTACCTCTTCACTCATGTGAGCGCATTGTAAAATAACAAGCGCAACGATAATAACACACATCCGCAACTCATTGCTCCTGACATTACTACAGGCGTCTCATAATATCATATTGAAAATCAATTTTATCCTTTGAAAGGTAGTCTGGGCGCAGACAAAACGTCACAATAACTATAGATGGCCTTTAGCCGTCGTTAGCCACAGTGACTGGCTATTTCTGCATGTCCTCTCGCTACCCATTAGTGGGAATATATTTAGTATACGCTGCGAGACGTGACCTCATCACTTATTCTGGGTAGGTTTCTAGTTCGTGAATACTATTTATTGATAGTGGTATTGGTTGGAGTATTGAATTGAAATTCTTGATCAATTGAATAGATTGAGCATTTGAGCATAGTAAAATAAATGTTCTTAAAACTGTATGTTCTGATCTAGAATTACTTTTGCATTACCTAAGTTTTTAACAATAAATAAGTGCAATTTACGAATACGTGTAGGTACACACGTTACACATACACTTTATACTTATTTTTAATCAGTAACTTTATGTAATATTATTAATCCTCCATCAAATTAAAATGAAACAAAAATCATTTTCACCACAAAACCCGTCTCACCAAGGAACCCGTGTCTGAACGTAACCTAAATATGTTCCTGACATTATCCTCTCGTCCCGAGCTGAGTGCCTACCGTCTCGGACCTCACTTAATTTGTTTTTAAATAAAACCCTCACGCCCATACCTCCATACAGCCAAAAGAAACAAAAAAGGTTTTGTTTCTGTAAACAGTGAACGTTTTTTTAATCGTGTGATGGACTACATTACTATCTCCTTATTGATTATTTGATATTGTTTTTTAGTTTATTTGGAAAATGATTAGCTAATCTTAGAAGGATTATAATTATAATCATTAAATAATGGCGTGGATAGATGATGATGTAACGTCTCCAGAGCAATCTAGTTTTTGTTTTTCTGTGCCTAACTTTACTAGCACAAATAAAAAAATCTGTCTTAATTTTCCAAAATTGTTAGCTATAAGTTGCTAGAATTTAAGGCCTGTACTGATATCTGCAAGGTATTGTGTTTTATTAATACAACTTCTACAATTGTCTATATTAATTTTTGTTTTTTATGGGATGGGGGCAAACTGACGATTCCCTGATACTGCCTTTGAACCCTCGCTAAACCACGCAGAAGTTACAAGTGCATTTCCATCCTCTATGTTTAATGTCAACAAATTAAGGTTAATTTGCTATTTACTCTTGAGTAATTACTTACTAATTAGCAGGGTATTGAGTCCATTAAAGGAAAGATTTATATATTTTTTAATTTATGCGGGTAAAATACAATAATTGTTACGTTTAGCGACAATAACAAGCAATTAGTGTGGAAAGAGGACAGCATAACCTAATTACAATGTGTGTAAACAAGACAACAAATCAATGCACCAATCATATATCGGTAATGAGATAGTGAACGCACTTTGACAGATTGGTACCACCGTGTAGATATTGGGACAGAAATACCACTCCAAACATATTAACTGAAATATTTAATGGAAGTAAGAAAAAGTCAAAATAAATACTAATAATTATCAAATCCAGGAAAAGATACTATTTAACAAGATGCACGAAATAAATAAAATTATGAAGTCTGTAAACAATCAGGTATCAAAAGATCAGAAACATGTGATAAGAAATGAAAATAAACTTTCTACGAAAATCCGTCTGTCACAGGAAGAGGGCGCCACAACTGCAATAAACTGACATGTTAATATAACCTTTAATAAGAATCGAGAGATATAGATATAGGACCAATCAATCCCCAAACTCCCCAATCCCCGAATCCGAATCCCCAACATTCCTCAAATTCCTAATCCCCACAAGGCCGGTAACCCACTTATAAAACCTCTGATGTTTCAGGTGTCCATGGGCGACGCCGATTGCTTACTATCAGGTGATCCGTCTGCATGTATCGGCTTATCCCATAAAAAAATTATCAACAACCGGTGATAGTCCACTGCTAGACTATTGGCCACCTCTGTTTAAAAGGATTTTTCATACTTTACACTGCCTGGTGCTTTAGAGGTTACAGTTTAATTAAAACATTCAGATTTATTAGAGACCGCTGCTGCTGCCCGGTCTCTAACAGATTTGAAGTATTTTTTACACGCACGGGAAAAACAGAGATGATGCATATGCATAACATAACATAACATCACGCCTTTTATCCCCGTAGGGGTAGGCTGAGGTGCACATTACGGCACCTAATGCCACTGTACAATGTAACACCCACTTTTCACTATTTATGTTATGAGTCCCATGTAATAGGGGGTGAACCTATTGCCATATACCGGACACAATTCCAGACTCCGTGCTACCACTGAGATTTTTTTTAAAAACCTAGTATTACTTTGCCCTACCCGGGAATCGAACCCGAGGCCCGTTGCCCGGCAGTCGCACTTGCGACCACTCGGCCAACGAGGCAGTCCAGTCGAGGCGATTCTGTCCAGGGATGATGCACTTGGATACAATTCTACAACTTCAAAACCATCTCTTCCCATCGCGAACCTTCTGCATGAAACATTATCATGTGAGCACGTACTCACCATGCGTGATATCCGCTTGCTTCGTAAAAAACTTTGATAACTGATAACAGTTTGTCGCGTCGCCAATGGAGTAATTTATAGCAACCTTTGAGCCTATCACGACACTCATTTACTGTTCCACGATATTAACTCAGTTCGAATGTACTTTCATCATGGGCGCACGTAGTTTGAAAGTGTTACAAGTGATTTCTGGGTGGCAAGCCGTAGAATTGATTCTAACATGTGTTTTTGTCGGCATTTGGCAAATTATCGAGATTTCCGTCAAAAGATTATGGAAAGGATATCGACGAAAAGTGGATGAAACTCAACCGGTTGAACTGACCGTGGATTCGTCTATTGGAACCCATTGCTACATCAAAGTTATGGTGAGCTTGTTTGAATTTCGAACTTGTTTTGGCATTGTATTTTTTTTTTATTTTGTTTGTGGCGTTTATTTTTTTTATATTAGCTAAGTATTTATGCGTTCGGTATAATTCCATATAAATTTTATTCATATAAAAATGGAATCGTTACTTTATCATATTATTGTTATTGAAATTTCTAAGTGCAATACTTAGCAAGAATATCTATCGATTTTTTTTATAATTTTTTATCAAATCTTGTAAAAATATTAATAGGCTCATTTACCAATCTAGAAAGCAGTTTATTAGAATGCATTTTATATTCTAAGTATGCAATCTATGTTTATACAGGTCAACTACCCATTACAATAATTAATATCAAAACGATTACACTTCGATAACTAATAATTTACTAGGTAGGTACCTACTATTGATTTACAACCTTACTTGTACAGACACAGATAAAAATATTCTAGATAAGTAATTGATTTAAAGATGTTGTTATTATAAACATGGTCTTATTTTAAGTAAAATCGCGGGTTACTCACGTGAATATACCTACTGAGAAAAGCTCTACTAGTTTCGACGTCGCGCAGCTCACTGGCACTGACGTCGCCGCGACTGCGCACGTTGCTCATGAGGAAGAACCCCTCTGTGATTCGAAACTAGTAGAGCTTTTCTCAGTATATTCACGTGAGTAACCCGCGATTTTACTTAATTTAGTATGTCTCACGATAGTTATTATAAAAACATGGTCTTATTTTTTCATATCCATTGTAATGTTTATTTGTATACCGGCTTATTCACGTAACTGTTTGACGAGAACCTCAACTAGTTTCAAGCCATGCTAGGGGCTCATAGTCATGGGCAGCATTCCATAATAATCATAACATATTGAACATTGTGTCGGTCAGTGATAACCGGTAAAATCAGGGAAAGATCACCCGTTATAGTTTTATGCCGACAGTGATAGACTACAAAAATAAGTGGGATAAGCCCGCCACAACCTCAAAACCGCTGCAACTCCTGTAAGCCAGGATCTACAATAGATACAACCATGAAAACACCGGAACACTGAAGTCCGGCGCGTCCCAGGGACATGAATAACTGTCTTGATTCCCGCAACGAAGTGAATCAGAAGATATTATAAGAGGAGACAGTCAGTCGTAGACTACAGTCTAACATAACCCAACTTTATAATGACCGATAGACTATGCACCCATCACACCTATATATGCACAAACTCACGTAGGTATTGATTCCCCAGTAGTAAATATGATGCATTAGTTACTCGGAATTAAATTCATATTCATTCTTTCAATAACAATGAGTCATTGTATCACGAATGAATATCAGATTCGTATAGATACCAAATTGAAATTAATCAGAAACAAATCCAGCTGACACACCTACATCAAGTGATTACTTCTGTCAATGAACTTATTTCTCTTGGCATTAAGTCGCAAATTTAAAGGGTTTTACTATCATGATCGGGCTGGTTAATACTAGCTTAATCTGGTTAAAGTTTAATACTTGTTCTAACAGGGTTTGACTTTAATCAAATATAACCTTCTACTGAAGTCATGCTCATCGTATACACCATAATTACTGCTCTTGATATGATCAGATTCGCCTTTTTTAGCCTCCTGTACACAATACAGAGCCGCGGCGAACGTAAACGGTACCGGGGCTCCGGCTCAAAGTGCAGGAGTAGGAACGGGGTGGCTTTTAGTCAGTAAGAGTCTGACACTCCTTCCCGCCTCACCTAAGCGGGAGAAGTCATTTTTACCCCTTAAAAAAGCCTGCTGTCCGTCTATTTTATTTGTTATAGATTTTATTACCGTTTACTTACAGTCTCTGAAATATATGTAGCTACCAGTAAATCTCGAAGTTTATCGATATGCAACTTAAATATTCTATATTACCAGGTACTGATCTTGAGTCCATATTAACTTCTTCTTTTTTCAATGATAGGTTAAAAGCGGGTCTTCATAAACAGGACCAAAACATAACGAAATGTTATCATGACGATTAAAATAATTTAAAGAATCGGCCACAAACTGTCAGAAGGGTACACTTACATCCCCTTGCCTCCAGTCAAAACTACTAGTATAAGCTGACTACCACTTAACCAATTTCATCTTTCCAGGGAGTAAAGTACCATTACGTCGAGACAGGGCCGAGAAGTGGCCAGAAAGTGTTGATCCTCAAAGACGCCCCAGATACTGGTAATCTTTGGGGGCCAAACTGGGCGAATGTCGTCAGAAGGCTGGCAGAAACTGATCACCACGTAGTCACCCTGGATTTGAGGGGCACTGGTGGAAGTGAAGGAGGTTCGAGAAGTGAACTGTCTCCTCCAAGAGCGGTTGAAGAGTTATCAGCATTGCTGAAGGCTCTTGGAGTGTCAGAGAACAGACAGGCTGTGGTGATCGGATTTGGTATTGGAGGAATGCTTACTTGGTGAGTAGTCTTATGTTTAAAGACTCTCTACTAATGATAGGGTATAGAGGGCTGTGTATGAGGTTAATTTTAAATCAATTAATTTTCTTAATTGATAGGTACCTTGTAGGCTAGTAACAATGATAAAGATGCCAATAAGTTATCATAACTTTAAAAACATAAAATCGTACCATCTTAAAAATAGCTTTATCGATAATTGAATGCATTTTATCTCTTTTAGGTAAATAATCTTTATTTTATTGTTTTTATATCAAAAGCTTCATCTGACCACCAATGCTATACTGCAATAAAATAAAATAATTTTAGCAAGCACTCAATCAACAAGCAGGTGCTTTATAATTAACAAGAAACTAATTAAATAACAATAAAAAATCTTATCAAACGCGGTAGCAAATCGGGAACAAACTGTCTGCCATGCGTCTGCGCATGAACCGGGAAATAATCGTACGATGTTATTATCAGTCATTCTGTTAAATATTTTAAATATACTATAAATAAGTTGTCTTATCAGTAACATATTTTTAGAACTCCTGTCGCCTGTGACACAGGAATATTCCTAGTATAGGCATATTATTTTTAAGATCTTGTCGCTTAATTAAGATAATTTTGTACCTATGTTGACCAGTGTTCATATGAATAAAAAATTTTATTATTTATTATTTATTTTATTATTTATTTTGAGTGTTTGCCGTGTTGTCACAATGCCCTTTGGAGCTGGATATATTAAATAAAGCGTGTAATAATCTTTAATTATCTTCCTTGAGTTATAATTAAAGCATAAATCATGAATAACGATTAATGTTGGACCAACGAAAATTGTAGATAACTATAGTCAGAATTTTAATTAGATTCCAGATTTGACAATAGCTACTGTCATTTTGTGAAATAATGATACCACATATAATAGTGTAGTGATGCACACAAAAATCGATAAACAATCAGTGTGTGTGTTTTATAATAAATGTTACAGAAAGTGACAGGATAGCGATAGCGATGACGGCGACAATTTATAAAATAACTTATTACCATAATACATCTATCTGTTTTATTTGTCATGTTCCTTCATGATTACATTTTTTTATTTATTTCACACACAATTATAAAAGAAACGTCTCAGGTCGTTAATTAATCGTCAAAACTAAATTATCGGTTCAGAAATATTTAATTTCCTGATATACTTAGTTCACGAGAGGAAAATTATAATTATTATAAACGAGAAGAATCGATCCAGAAATATTGCATTTCCATATCGAATAATTTCGCAACGTCACTATTTAGTACTTATCATAACGTTGCCACACTGAAATTGTCAAATCTGGAATCGAATTAAAATTCCGAGTATAAGTCTTATTTTTGAACATTTTGTCATCATGTTGGAGTAATTCTGTCTTCAAAGAATAAAAGGCCTTTTATTTCTATGGTATCTGGTATCACACGACGATATGTAGTGGTTTTATTCTAGTTCATCAATGACTTTACATTGGCATTGGTAGGTAGGTAAATCTATTTGTCTGACTGACACGAAGACTTCGCCTTAAATCATACGATGTAAGTGATAATTCTCGCGATATGACATCGCATCATACTATTAAGTATACAAGTTCGGTGACGTGCATACCGTCAGATACGAGGGGTCAGGTTTAATTGATAGATAGTGCGCATTGACGCCAGTTATCTACGACTTTCCCCACTTGTGTATTATGCAAATATGCCATTGATATGGTACGTTATAAAGTAAGGAAGAGAACCAATCATTTCTGGATAACTGCTATTATGGAATTCCATTTAGTTTGCATCTGTTAGCCCTATTCAGCAGAACGCCAGTAGTCCTACTCTCTGTCCCTGTTTCATGAGACAAACACTTCCACTCTTTCACTTTCCCGAGCCCTTGTATGAAACCTTGTCCTACCAAGGCAAGAGTGCTCCATGAGGACTTTCGACCTTGGAGTCGAAACAAAATACCATAGAAACTTAAGCTTAGGTACTTAGGTATAGATTTCTACTTAATCCACTAATTAAAAACTTGAGAGAAACACTGACAAGAACATAAAACTGAGCAGGCTGTTGCTGCCGATTATTGAAGAAAGGTTGTCGAAACAGTAGCTAATTTGTTACGTATCTTTCCAGGTACCTAGTCCACACTCGTGGCCCCTTGATCAGCAAATTCGCGGTGATTAACGCTCCTCATCCGAATCTCTACTGGCAGTACCCACCTGCCACATTCTGTCATCGAGCTCTGCAGTTCATACAGGTTTGTGTGTGCACCAAATATTGCCATTACGTTCATCATCATGGATAACTTTTTTGAGGAGTAAACAGCAAAAGAACCTATTTAGACAAACCGACAGTTCTAAAACGCCAGAAAGTTCTTGAGCCTTGACTTCAAACTCCAGGTGCCTGATTCAAGACGAGATGACCCTTAGGACCCCGGTTTAGGTAGGTAGATGCGGCTTTAAAACAGCATGATCATCTTCACGAACATCTTGAATCTGTCATCTACCACTATAATGCGTAAATTCTACAGCATATTTATTTTTCTGACACAGATACCGTTGAATATTAACCCAATGTACTTGCTTCAGTGGCCACACTTCCCGGAGCGCTGGTTGGCGGAGGGCGAGCTGAATGACCGCGAAGGTCGTTGGACCAGCTCCAGAGCTTGCGACTGGACTGGCGCACTTAATTATGTTAGAGGTTGGTTCCTTAGATTTTAAAATACATTTTAAAGTTTTAATTACATACGTAGGTAGGTACTTAGCCCAATGTACTTTCTTCTTTTTCATTGTTTTGGCCTTCACACTACTCAGACGAAGCGTCTTTTCGCGGTATTTGATCACTTTTCACTAATTAATTACAAGTCTCAAATCCCTACCATGACAATGAAAGTAGTTATTGAATTATCTCACACTCAAAACTATTCACGTTTTTAAAAGCGTAAATTAATAATCTATTTTCTTATATGATACCCTCCGCTAATTTTACTGAACCAGCTTTTTGGTCGCTTTGCTTCTTGATCTTACTAAAATCTTCTACCCCAATTTCAGGAGCAGCCTGGTGGCAAGTGAAGCAAAGTCTTAAAACATCAGCTCCAGCCCTTCTAATCGGTAACAAGGACAGTGCAGCACAACTGGTGGCCAGTGCACAGTACTGCACCGCGTCCACACTGCGTCTTGTCACCAAACCCGAACCCAGCAGTAAGGAGGTCACTGATGTGCTCTTGGATTTTCTTATAGGTGAGGTTTTCTTGGACTGGATTCATGGGAAAATAATCTTTTTTAACACATAATTATTGTCTTCTTTTCTCATTCCCAATCAATAAAGAGTTCTGGTTAATTTTGTGTTCATTTGATATGTACACACGGCTACACATCGAACTTTACATAACCAGTATAAACTGAACGTTAAATGTGCGAAAAGATGATGCGACACGACACCAGGGTAAACTGGTTTTGTATAGATAAATGTGTGGCCTTGTGTACGAGCGATAATTTCATTTTATTTCCTGACCTTTTTTTATACAAACCGTCAGATGACTTTTCCGATTTCTTGAAACTAAAAGTGAACTATTTGTCAAGACCCTACTTTTATAGTAAGTTCCGTGTTAGCTGGGTTACAGTCCAAAATGTGATTTTACAATTGAAACAATACTTTTAGAGGGAGCCCTAAATCAAATTTACAGTGGGTCCCCTGTAAAAGTTAATATGTAGTTACATACAGTAGAAACCAGATAAAACTGAGATGAACAGATAAACTGAATTTCTTTGTGACTTTGTACATAAAACTCTATTTTTTGTTTACCAGAAAAAGAAAAGCTCATAGAAGAAGTACCAAGAGGTCTGATGGGTCGCGTGTTTGGTGCAGTAGCCGACAGAGGGCGCGAACTTACAGCTAGATTAGTCTTACCGCCAACACAAGCGTGATAGTATACGTTTATGTGAATACCCTTTTAAAATAAGATTAATATAATTGTACCTACTTCATACAAGTGTATTGTGCGTGGATGTGTGTATATAGCCAAGGAGTTCTTCAACTTAATCAGTACCAGTGTTTCGAAAATAATGTGTGTAGGTACCTAGGTATGTTTGTAAAAAAAACTTTATGTAAAGTACATTTTGTATACAGTCTACGTGTAAATATAGGCATTGCCATAATTTAACTTTACTTAAAATAATTATTATAGTCTTACTTTGCTCCAATATTTTCTTGTTCTGTATCATTTAGTAAGTTATGTGTGTGTAGACTGGATAGCAATATTATATGTTGTATATTTTCAGTTCAACACTATAAAATCATTAGACCCAAACTGCTCACTAGCGCCATCTCGTCAGCGCAAATTTGAAAACCCTTAATTATTCTGCGAATCTGTGTCATAGTAATAATAATATTGTAGTTCCAAAGGTTATATGAATGATCAGAAGATATTTATAAATCTCTGTTTATGATAGCAAAGTCCATAATTACTTGAAGGAAATTGTGGACTTTGCTATTTAAAAAAATAACGATTAGATACGTAGTCATATTTATCCAGAGCACTTTGGATTGTAGCATGGATTATTGTCAACCCTGTTTTATAACTCAATTATATAACCATTTATTTATTTGTTAATAAGTTTTATAATCAATCATAAAAATATTGAATAATAAATTACAATTATTTGAAATTGAATTGAATATATTTAGTATATGTTATGTAAGTAGTCGCATAATATTTTAAAAACTTGTAAATAATTAAGTTATTGTTTAATTGGTGTCTTAACAAAGACTTTGTTTAATGTCATAATTATAATTCTACTATTTATACTTATTTAATTTTATAAGGAATGTTATTTTAATACAATATAGTTTACTATTATATTTTCCAGAATTTTTCATGTATTAAACCTACTTTGAATCCAATCCTATATTAATTTTTATTTATGCAACATACTTTCTACTTAAGCCCTAGAGTTGACTGCAAAGAGCTATAACAAGTATAGGGGAAGTTGACTGGTAGAGAATGCCAAATTGCATTAAGTTAGCCTTATGTTGGTACAAAATAGTGGTTATTTTGTTATATTGTGTACATGAATGATTAAATTATTTTTTTTGCCCCACATTTAGATTTTCTCCTGTATCGTTCAAATACATATGACACCCAGACCCGGAATAACAATCTGTGGATCACACAAAGAGTTGTTCCGTGCGAGAATGGAACCCACGACACGTTGCGTGGCAGCCGATTGCCCAACCACCGCGCCAACCGTGCAGTCAATTAATAAATAAATAAAACATAAACAAGTGCAAACGCTTCTTTAATACGCAATATGCTCCACAAAAAGCTAACCATTCATAAATTTTCACTATAATTATATAATATTCACAAATCTCATAGTTTAATACGAATTACAATAAAGAGCGACCTACAGTCGAGTCGGGCGCATTCAACTGCGTCAAACAAGGAAGATTTATATCACAATAGCTGCATAGACAATACTTCTACAATTAATTTATTATCTACATAGAATACAGAGTTGCCAGTGTTATGATGTAAATCGAACCACAGATAAAATAATGACTAAACTTTTAGTATTTAGCTGTCAAAAAAAAGGTGGCCTCTTTTGTGTCCTAGTAGAATTGTTATACTTATTCTGATTAACTGTTTGAGACAAAATGGTCAGTATGGCAGCAACTATTATACACACATAGATTCAAGTCATAAGACACTCCCTGTTCTAACAAATGAGAATACATAAATATTTACGAAGTATAGCAAAATGTATAAAACTTGCTATCTTTTTTCCTCAAGAGTTTTCCTCAAGAATAACTTAATCCACTGGTGGAAATCGCACTAGTAAAGAGCTCACAGGTAAAATTCGCAGTGATCAAAAGGCCACTGTTGAAAATGAGTAATCTTCGAATTGAGTGCGAATATTCAGGCAGACTTCAAATTAGGTGTAGTCTCATTCGTTATAACTAAGAACAAAAGTCAAAAACCGTTAGGCCAGATATTGAATAGTAGGCACCAATTTTAGAAACAATGCAGAGATGAAATTATACTTTTGAGATAACGATACTCTTTACTTTAGAAGATATATTTTACTATATTTTCAACCAAAAATATTATTCAATCTTCTTGTCAAACTATACGTTAACCTACAGTTAGAAAAAAATCAACTGGGTTCAATTCTTAAACATCTTCAATGAATGATTTGTCGTTATGAGGTGAATTTGTAACTCAACTTTAGGAATTTTAATTTACTCAAATCACTCTAATATCAATCACAAACTACATAATTAAAAACCTAAGTAATTTATTCAGAAATCCCGTATGAAAATTAATCTACGCAAGTGAAGAAAAATTTAAAACAATCCGAAATGATTAATGAAACACAACTGTTTTCCATAAGTGAAAACGTTACCATGAGTTACATTTCACCTCAATCATTAATGAAATTTGGACTAGATACAAAGGCGGTGGTGTTTTCAGTCAATTTCGAAATATTTAAGTACAAAACATTACTGAAATTCTATTGAGATTTGGCACATATTTTATTGTTTTTACCATGCTTTTATTTGGTTGTTAAATTAAATACTGTAACATATTTTTAAGAGATCACACATTATTTTAAATTTTAGCTGTGATGTGATCTTATTTGTATTTTAATTCGGAATCAAAAATATGCAAGGATCGGTTCTAATACTAAAAAACAATATAGCAAAACAAGATTGCGCAAAATTTTCATTTGCGCTAAAAATATCTTAGTTTGCGCAACAATTTAGCACAAGTACTAACATTTATGGAAGAGATCCTGTATATTACTTTGGAAAACATTTCAAATTATTTTACAAGGTTTAACAACAAAATAAAAGCATGGCTGAATTAATATTAATTGTTACGTATTTCAAGTCAAGCATACTTCACACGAGACAGAAGCTTTACCTCCTATTCAGACTGTTATAAACTTAATAATAAATAACTATACAATTAACATATACAACTTAAAACACTAATAGAGAAATTATACACTGGCATTTGCATATACTGTTGCAAATCTTTACTATTTAAATGCAGTGTAAGTTGACGCTTACTGAGCGCAGTCAATAGTATTTTTACAATTTTCTATTATTTTTTATTTATTACAAACATCTGTTTATAACTTTCAAATAATAAAAACTATCGTCTTCTGGCTTTTATATTTAGAATAGAATTTTATATTTTAAATAGATTTTTTAGCTGCCTATGTTCACAGCATTTTTGTATAAAACGTCTCTATGACTTCAAATAGTATATGCAAACGTCATAAATGGCACGTAATAGCTGTCATAAACGATACTTACGTAATATTAGTTGTCTAATGTAGATGTTTTGGGGCAGGCAGGAGCTAAGTGCCTAGAACATTGCTACACAAAACTTGCCCATGTGTGCGTACCGCGTTAAAGTACGCACACATATGAAACTTGTGGAAGTAAAAGTAATATATACAGTCAACATTTTTATACATTAGTATGAGATTTCAAACATATCAGTTTACCCTAGCACACTTTCGGCCCTAACATTTGAGTTATGCGCTAAGTTAATTTCGACTTTATGGCAGTGTCAATAAGGAACTTGGTAAATGTAAAAAATATAAATTGTCAAGTTTTCCGAACACAGACGAAGATTACCGAAGCGTATAACTTAAATTGTAGCACGTATAGAGTCTAATAGCATCGCAATAATATCTTTTATGATACATAAACAACATTTTCTTCGAATAACAAAGAGTTCATTATATAATTTACTTTAAGTTCAAAATCACTAGAAGGAAGGCTATGAGAATCTACCTAAAAACGTACTAGGTATCAAAATGCCTCCGTAAGGTTCAGTTTACACTACACTGTGGTTTCTCCTTTAATTTCTACGTCGGACACCGCCTCACTCACACAACTGTCGCTGTCCGGCTTCAGCGTGACGTCACTGTTCAACGTCACATCTAGCCCCGTCTCCTTCCTGGGCGTTCTCTCTCTATCTCTATCTCTACTCGTGATCTGAGTATATAGTTCGTCTATGTCACTCGCGAACGACACGGGACTGCTGTCCCTGTTCACCTCGGGACAACTCAACGCCGGCGTCGGCACGTACTTACCTAACTTAGGATTACTCTTTATAGTTTTCCTCCACCCAGGGTCGTAGTTCACGTATTGGCTTTCGATGTTCGATACGTCCTCGTTGCTGAAGCTGATCTCGTTCGGACACATAGACGACGGCGAAGGAGCGTACAGCCCGTGACTTCGAATACTCACTTCTGACATTTGGTAATTTGGACAATAGATGTCGCTCTCGTTCTCAAAGCCTTGCTCGCTCGCGTTTGTGCTGCAAGTCTCGAAGTCATACGTTGTTTTCGCCATAAAGAAAGTTTCTTTATCATCGTCCAATTTCTCTTTAGATCCCTCCATCTCCTGGCTTTGCAGCAGATTATCCAACTCCCCGGAATCAGCTTCCAATCGCTGCGGAGTACTAGATCTGTTCACATCATCAGAGTTCATGGTACATTCTTCAGAGATATCTTGCAAAGACTTGTCTACAACATTCTCTTTGTCCTGTTTCCCTGGTTGCAAGTAGTCTATGTACTGTCCAAAGCTCTCAGTATCGGTGATTTCGTTGGTGGAACATAAGGCACTGTGCGTTTCTTGGAAAGAGGTTAATTCTGAATGTGTGTTTAGAGTTTGATCAGAGCATGTGTGTGGCATGGCTATTTCTGAAGCAGAGCTGTACTCGAGGCTGCACTGTTGGGAGATGGTCCTCATCTCTGGCTGCTCACTGGCGTGGCTCTGTAGACACTCCTCGGACACACTACTGCGCTGCCCATTAAAGTTCGTCGGGACATTCGCCTTAACTACCTGATGTTGAGGCACCAAAGTTTCGGGAACATTTGTATAGATGTTCATAATCTGTCCTCTACTTGTCTTAGGGTCCTCATTCTTATTCCACGACTTTTTGTCTGTTGAATAGTTCTTGTAGTTGTCCTTCGAGTCTTCTTCTAATAGATTGGGGTTCAATACGTTGCGCGTCTCTTTTATGCCGTTGTTAGATCTCTCTACATGTATATTGGTATTGTTAACTTTTGAGCCTGAGTTTATAATATTGGCTACGCCGTTGTAAGCTTCTTTGGTTGGCAATGGTAAAGAGAAATGGGAGTCATTGTCACAATCCCTTCTCGTTGGTAGTTCAAGACAGTTTCTCTTCATATTCTGTCTTTGTTTTTTAAAGAACTTTTTGGCTACATTCATTTGATTGGGATTGTAGAATATTTCTGGTCCAACAGTTCCGTTGTCAGGGTACGTCATCATGAATTATTTGATCTGTACTGTTGTCTATGTAAAACTACCAATTGATATTTGGAGCTTTCCCATTGGTGTTTTTCAATGTATCTTTTTGTAGAGTCTGTCCGTTTAGCTCTGCAGCTGCCTTGTAAGTCCCACTGTTGTTAGTTTTAGAATTAGTTCGGTTAGAACTCCTACTGCCTGACCGGGACCGATTGTCATTGGGTATAGGTAATATGGGAGGCGTGGCAGTTTGATTCGGAGGTAGATTTTGTTGGTTAGCGTCAAATACACTTCTGTTCCGACAGCACTGTTTGCTCTTCTGTAGATAGCATTGCATCATGGACCATTGAGCTCTGACGTCGCTTCTGGCTATGCCGTAGAAGAAGAGGATGAAGGTGCCTAGTACGGTGGCGCAGACTGCGTACATGATGCTGCAGATGTCCTCCTGGTAGGGCAGGTAGGCGGGCAGGGGCCGGTACACGGCCACGGCGCCGGCCGCCCACACGGCCACGTACAGACTCGCCACGATCACCTGCGCGCGCAGCTGCGTCATCGGGCTGTGCTCCATGTCCTCCACCTCCGAGTCTAACGCAGACTTCACACTCCTACGCTCGGCTCTCTCGTTACTCTGAGGCTCCCACATTTCCAAATCCACATTCTCGGTAGCTTGCGTCCCTTCAGATAGCTGCACGTTATTGTTTCTTATCGTACATCGGATCAACAAGAACAAAGTCAGTAGAAACACTAAGAGGATCCCTCCTGGGACGAACAACGCACTTAAGCTGGTGCTGTACTGAGGAAACACTGAGAATAACCCGCATAATCTTTTAAGTTCACTGCACCAGATATTCCGCAAATAATCAGAGCTATCCCCCAACCCACGAGGTACAAACCTAGTATAGGTTTCTGTACAGGCACATCGGGAGGTATATCATCTTCAGGAGTCCGCACTGGGTTATGAGTCTTAGTGACCCACTTGTACATGTTACTGGCTTGGACGCACATCCAGAGGAGCACGCAGAGGGAGAGGTAGTGGATGAGCAGGCCGAGGACCTGGCAGAGCTTGACGTCCTCCGTCTGGTAGATGCCGAGCGTGTACATGAAGCAGAGCAGCGCCATGGCGGCCCAGCAGTTGACGAGCGCGTGTCGCGCGCGGGCCGGCATGGCGAGGCGGCGCCAGGCGAGCCCGTAGGCCAGCGCGGCGGCGGCCAGGCTGGCGCCCAGCAGCAGGCTGCCCACGTACACGGCGGGGTGCGACACCTTGAAGCGCGCGCCGTCCGTGCGCGCGCCGTAGATGCCCGTCTCCACGTTCTGCAGCAGGCCCACGTACGCCAGCCGCGTGCAGCTTATTATTATCATCTCCGACACTACGTGCGATATCTTGCAGTCTACAATAGGGAGAATACAAGAAAGGTTGCGTAAAGAAATTGTTAGATAGATGAGAAGTAACTTAGCTGTATGACCTCTTCACAAAGATCTACAATAGTCACGCAAAAACAAAAGTAGATAAAAATGAACAGACAAATAATGACTATAAACAAAAAAATAAGTACAAATTTCAACATAATGAATCAGATACTTAAAAAATACTTTAGAAAATCTAACTACAAATTATAAGCCATAATAATAACACAAACCCCTCACCTGAAGAATTATCCTGCCACCGCCTGGTTACGGGGTCCCATACAGCGGCGCGTCCGTCGACCCCGCCGACAGAGCGCGCGCGTACTGTCGCTATGATCGGCTCTATCAGCTCACCGCGCACCTTCGTGTTCACTGTAAAACAAATTGAAAAAAAATAATTACGCTTCTGTCTGGCGCAAAACCATTACATTAGCGTACAAAACCTAGTTCATAGCATTATATTAGGATTTTGATTGGTTGATTAATTCAAATCAATCATTCAAGTGACACATTTGGGCCCTTAGCCAAGTTAAAACTTACATTGTGTGTCATGTCATTAATTAATGATACAGTAAAACACAAAGATTATATTTTAATTTCTATATTGATGGCTACACGGTATCGAGATTCGGTTGGGGTCAAAAGTGCAAATAATATTCTCAATTAAAATTTTGATCGAAAATAAGTTGGGCCCCCGTAATTTCCTGCAACACACTTAAAATTACACTTAAAATCAATGTAAATAACAAATAATCTTACATGATAAATACTTACTCAACTGAAATCCAACAACAGGCGAGGTGATCTCAATATTCATATCCTCCCTCTTAGTGCTTCTGCCGTAGTAGTCCTTGGTTCGATGCTGGGTAAGGCGAGCGTCGGAGTCTGTGTCAGTGAGGGGTAACAGAGGGAAGAGTGCCGCGTCCTCATACATAGATATCACCAGGTCTTGAGGGTGGCTCTGGAGTAATACTCCTGCGTCAGTCGTGCTGTAGAGAAGGGATTGAGGAATCTGCAAGATTGAAGATTGTTTTTGTTACGAAAAAAAGGCTTTTATATAAGGCCTAAATAGGTAACACTGAAATTACATTATCATTACATTAACATTTAAATCAAACATTTGGTAACATTGAAATTAAACATTTGGTAACATTGAAATTAAACATTTAGTAACATTGAAATTAAACATTTGTAAACACTGAAATTAAACATTTAGTAACATTGAAATTAAACATTTGTAAACACTGAAATTAAACATTTGGTAACATTGAAATTAAACATTTGGTAATACTGAAATTAAACATTTGGTATTATAGTCCAGAATAGTACCTGATATTCGGTAACAACAATATAAGATCATGAGAGGCTCAATAAGATGTATAAAGACAGTCAAGGCACGAAAGGGTACATAAAAAAAAATATTGAAACTTTATCTTAACTTCCACAAATTTTGCGATGGAAAACATTATTCCTTTCAATTATAACTAAAATTTGACTTAGTTCTAAATATAAATAAATGTATGTAATGACCTGTACACTGGCGTGTATGAGCGCGTCGGTGACAGTGAGTAGCGGCGCCACGGTCCGGTTGGTGGTGGTGCAGTGCAGGCGGGGCGCCGCGCCGCGCGCCGCGCTGTACCACACGCACGTCGCGCCGCCGAACCCTTCGCTCACGCGGAACTGCTCCACTGCTAGGTTCGACTGGAATTACAGGGAGAACAAACTTCAAAATAATCGTGAAACAACCACCTGCTTTGTGATTTGTCCAGTAAGTAAAGTTAACAGAGGTCTAATCACTCGCAAAGGCTGATAACGCCATTATACTTTTGGTATTGCGAGGGTCAATATCAATATCAGGTGATTCGTCTGCTTGTTTGTACCTTATTATATAAAAACAGACATTCCGCCCTGGGCGGGCGCGAAAAAGCGTCAAACTCTCACTGACTAAAAACAACCAAAAAGGCAATTCTAGCAACAACTTTCAGAAAGAGAGAACTTAAAGTCAAAACATTTATTTCAATTACAAATAGGCACTTTTGAAATCTCTAGTATTGCTAGTCGATTATAGTTTTAATTTTTATAATAACTATCGTGAGACATACTAAATTAACTAAAATCGCGGGTTACTCACGTGAATATAATAGAGCTTTTCTCAGTATATTCATGTGAGTAACCCGCGATCTTAGTTAATATAGCTTTAATTGCTGATTATTCAATGGTGATCGACATTAAGTGACCAGCTCATTGACCTGTGATCATGGCACTTACAAAAAATCCATTCTAAATGCTAATCATAATCTGTTACTTACCTTCTGCCCCTGCATATTGACGATATGCTTGGAGATCTCCTCGGCGGCGCGGCGGATGTCGGTGCAGACTCCGTACAAGGTCTCCGCGCGAGTTAGGACTGACATACTGATGTTCATCGTCGAACTTATCACGTCCAGGAGTGTTGGGCCTGGGGGAATATTTAGTATGAATATAAATAATGGAGATTGGCTCATTGGCCGAGGAGTTCAGTGTAAATACTAAACAACAAGGTTGGTTCAGCATAAAGAAACCTTCGGTTAATAAATAGCCTGGAGTCCGATAATGTGTGAAAATATAGACACAGGTCAAGGACACGAAGTGGTTGTGACCACAATCAGTGCAACTGGATAGAATCTTGAAATTCAATACTAAATGTATCAGTAGTATCATAAAATGTGTATCATGTGTTATTTCTTAGAAATAAATGTATATGTGCTAATAATATACCCACATTTCGTTTATACCACAATTAGTCAGGACTGCCTCGTTGACCGAGTGGTCGTAAGTCCGACTGTCGGGCAAGGGGTCTCGGGTTCGATTCCCGGGTCGGGCAAAGTATTACTGGTTTTTTTTTTAAATCTCAGTAGTAACACGGAGTCTGGAATTGTGCCCGGTGTATGGCAATAGGCTCACCCCCTATTACATGGGACTCATAACATAAATAGTGAAAAGTGGGTGTTACATTATACAGTGGCATAATGTGCACCTCTGCCTACCCCTTCGGGGATAAAAGGCGTGATGTTATGTGATGTGTAGTCAGGATGTGAGAAGGCTATTAGCCCACTAAATGAAATTGGGGCAATAAAAAGAAATTACTTATGTTTTGCGTGACCTACTTTTACAACCATTTGGGAATAAAATAAAGGAAACTAAGAATGTGTTAATTATATTATGAATCATCGCGACTGACGCGTTTCCGGCGGCTACCATGGCGATAGTGAACAATAAAGGCCTTTTAAAATTAAAAATAGACTTTGACATCACTCACAATAATAATAAAGGATACAGACAACTCACCAAGATCTTTCTCTTCAGCAATGTACTGCATATAATTCCTTATAGCTTTCCCAATAAAATACACATCGTCCGGATCAATAATCTCAGCCAATGGATATGTCTTCTCTTGGATCAACATAGCCAGTCTCTCCGTAGCATTGACAGCGGAGTATTGCACTAAACTCACGTTCAAGAGAGCAAACTGTTGCAGGAGCTTCGTCACATTGCTTATGTAGGAACATTCACTTGTATTAGCGTGGCCCCAGGTAGCGTTAGAGAAGCAGGATCTATAAGCCATGCCCTCCCCACTACGACATGGCACCGCAGCAGTCCGATTCAAAAGCAACTGAGGCCACGAATACAATCCTTTATTGTCAATTGTGTAGTTCGTTGGACAATATTGTGTAGAGTTTGATAGCACCAACACTTGCACTGTATGATTATGTTTGATATGATTCTGGTCATGATACACACACGTCCAGTTCCCCATATGATGGTTTGTTATATTCGGAAAGTATACTGTAGTCTCCGCCAACCCTTCTTCTTGCATATCTGTGTTAGTCACGTTTACGTCACAGATTTCTAGCATGGGGTGGACCCAATGCAGCTCGTATTTAGCTAGTCCAGATGCAAAGGGGGCATTACAGGATAATGTTAGTGTATCTCCAACAAAAACCACTTGATCGTTTGACGGTTTCACTATCAAATTGTTGCCGGACACGGCGTTGCCACAGGCAGACCGGTCTAGCAATATTTTTAGTTTTCTCACTAGTTTGTTCACCATATTCTCTGGGAAGGCGCATTTAGGGTTGCCCACTAACTTTACGCTAGTGTTTCGCGACCAGTCTCCCACCCAAAGGAGATCGCAATCGCATATTAATGGGTTATCAGTTATGTCCCTGGAAAAAGGGTACTCATTCAGTCAGTATGGATAACAATCGACAAGTTTTTTAAAAACAATGTACTTTTTGTGCAGTATCAGACACATTATTTATAGGCGCCAGCTTTTAACTATTGGTAGTTAGAAGTATAAATAATATGGGAGCAATATATTTATTTAAGATGGCAAATAAACAACATCAAGGCCGTCTCTGACACAGACATTTCTGGAAGTAGTATTCAGCTATATTCCAAAACAAAAATTATGTCGGCTGCAGTTTAAAACGCTTAAATTAAGATTTAATCATCCGCCTTTTATAATTTGAGTTTTAATGAATGGTTGCCTTGTTTTAACAAAAACATTACTCACAATTGCTTCAGTCCAATTAGATAGTCGAAGGTGCCAGCCGCCATAGCAGATATATGATTCTGTGACAGTATAAGGCGCTCCAGATTAGTCAATCCCTTGAACATCTCTTTGTAAACATTGCTGATCTGGTTGTATGAGAGATCCAGCCGCTGGATTGCTGTCATATTGTAGAATGCATCCGATTCTATCAAGCTTATTTGGTTTCTACTTAGATCACTGTGAAAAGTATGTTTGATTAGAACTTAAATTACTTACTAATTAGTTATGATATAAACAATATCTAGAGACAGGCGATTTATCGGATAAATACTTAAACTGGACAAATACTGAGTAAATACTTCTACCACTTATTTCTCTGCATTTCCCTATGGTTGACTGTAAGAAAATGTCTTAAGGCATTAAGTCCGCCATTCACTGTAATTTTGTGTGAAAAAGAAATATATATAAATACAAAATACATTATTCTAAGTATTCATTAGAAAAATAACTCATACCCAGTACCCTACATATAATTTGTCACTATTTTTATTTACTTTTTATTTTATTTTATTTTGATAAGGCCTATCAACAACATAAACACAGACATTACAAGTAAGAAAATGACAGGGATACAAACTAGTATCTATATTCTATCTGTGTGCCCATTCAGATCCATTCTGCAGTTTATGTATGAAAGAGTATCAAAGATACATGTCAATGTACATAATAATTATCTACATATGAATCCATATTTCTATTAGATATTGCTTAGAAATCAGATTGATTAAATTAATGATATCCAATGTCATAATTATACCCTTTTGATAACTTAGATTGCGTTCCCAATGTTTATCTAATTAACTCGTCGAGTACCGGTTTTATAGACACAATTAAAGAACAATAGGTCGCGGTCACCGGTGACCGCTTGGTGTTTGACAGATTAATGCTTATGTGCATGTGAATGCTTATCTTGATTTTATTTCACTAATTGCTTTTAATTATATGCCTACTTAACACTAGTGATGTTACAGAATTAATAATTATAATTTACTGTAAAATTCTAGATTAAATTAAGATTGTTTATAATTCTTTATAAAATAACTCAGTTTACTTAACACTTAATTGCTGCCATATTGATCTCTATCTTCTTGGTTACAGAAATGGAACTGTTATGTTCAACAATTTACAGTTGAATAATGCCATTTTGTGTTTACATAAACATTAATTTATTCAAGTAAAGTTCTAACATATTGGTCAGAAAATCTTAAACAGACGAAAGCACTTCCTATGAAAACAATTGAATGCTATTTCAAAAGCTATTCCCAATACCCATTTGTACAATCTCATTCATTACTCACTACTAGCACATAAAACAGATTTAGAGTCGTGTAAACAAACTGAAATGTGTGTCATTTAATTCTGTAATGGCCCATGAGGTTGGCTGCACTGCCAAAGTGGAACTTTATTCCAACTAGCCAGTAATACAGCTTCACAATTTGTTCCAGCTGTATCATGTTTATTGTTGTTTATTATGACATGCCAGTAAAACTTCCATGTTTTATTAGCTCAGTAACTATTGTTTATAGCACAAGATGTAATACTCACAGTTTCTGTAAATTTGGCAGATATAACTCCCTTGATAAAGTTGATATCGCATTGCCAGATAGATTCCTGAAAACAGGAAGTTTTATAATAAAGGTTCATGGTTTCTGTGAGCTTGAGAAGTTGATGTTAAAGTTATACTTACAAGCTTACTACTATTGTCCATAATTTACTCAAATCTATCTCTTTAAGCTCAGTGATTTGTGCTGGACTTCCACCACACTTAAGCTTCAGTAGCTCGTCCGGCTGGGGCTCCGCTAACGCCCCTTCAGCTGCTTTGTTACCTTTACAGGTACATAACGAGGGGCAGAACCCCACGACTCCTTGAACCCACAACAACGTTAAAATAACTAGCGCCGACCACTTCATGATTCGTATCCTCGATAAAACTGCAATTAAAACTATGGCACGACGCCAAATACGAAAAATAATCGCATCTTCACAAATTCTTTACATTCATCAATGACATTTCTTAACTATCCATACGAGTAAATGTCCAGTCGTTTGTAAGTGATATGCCACACTAAATCCGTCACATTTCTCTCTACATTGATAATATTTTATTTATATTATAAAAATAAACAACTGTAAAACAATACACAAGTACACATCCGACATTTGTAAAATTTGACTGATTGTTTTTCAATTTATAGATCTGAGGGTACGAGCCAGTGTCTTTTGAGCCATATTTTACGGTCATTGAACGAGTGATAAAAAATCGCAGTCGGTGTAGCCAGCTTTATCAAATTTTTTCTTGTAACTGAAAACACACTATCGGTCTATTAGTAGTCTGTTGTCAAATCAACGCTGCCAATATTGAGAAATCAAAACCAAAGAGTATAATAAGTATAGGGGTAAAGAGTTGCCACTCGTCAAAATTTATGCCAATCAATTTGAAACGCCATCTGTAAATTGAATCCAAGTATATTTTTTTTTTTTACTAGTGTCTACAGATAATCCTAAGTATAGCTAATGCCAATACTACCAACAATGCACCTTGCAGGTTGGTACATTGAAGGTAGTATTGGAATTAGCTATGTCTGGTAGCTGCAAAATCAAAGAAGTTATTAATTACAATATTACATTTATTACAGTAAATACAAATTAACATTTAAAAATTATCAGCTAGTAGGGAAATATCAGACGACAGATTTGTTCAAAGTATAATTCAAATTTTAGTTCTTTTTAATTTTATGTTTACAAATTTCAGATATAAATATGTCGTTCAAAATTTATTTGAATTAGTAATTTTTTTAATTATTGATCCCACAAAGAACTAAAATTAAAAATATTTACTGTTCACCGTTGTTTACACAGTACCTAACAGTAGTTAACAATCTAATGATATAAATTAACCGTAATACCTACACAAATGTAGTACATTTTACCATCGATTTGAATCGCTTACAGTATTTACAAAAACACAAAATTATTATACAATTTACATAACATAACATACATAACATCACGCCTTTTTATCCCCGAAGGGGTAGGCAGAGGTGCACATTTCGGCACTCAATGCCACTGTACAATGTAACACCCACTTTTCACTATTTATGTTATAAGTCCCATGTAATAGGGGGTGAGCCTATTGCCATATACCGGGCACATTTCCAGACTACTCTACTACTACTGAGATTTTTTTAAAACCCAGTAATACTTTGCCCGACCCGGGTATCGAACCCGAGACCCCTTGCCCGGCAGTCGCACTTATTATTATAATGTCGAAAAATATAGTGCTTAAAAATAAGTCTCAGTCTGCCTCTCAGTCAGTCTCAGTTTTTTAGTACTTTTTTTTGCTAGTTGCTAATAATGCCTGACTTAGTCGTTTCCTATATCTAGTTATATTACAGTCATTTTTACTAAACAACTACAGATTTTTCCTATCCTCAAATATAATATTTTTATAACATTATAATGAAACAAAGTAATATTATTATTATAAATACAAATGAAAATGAAACAGGCAAAATAATGTGGGAAATCCCAATTCAGACAGACTTCACAGTTGCCCACAACAGACCGGACATAATATACACAAACAAAACATCCAACACCACATACCTCTTTGACATAACTGTACCATGTAACTACAACATAGGAGCAAAAGAAATTCAGTAAATACCACTTTTTAAAGACACAACTCAAGGCTAGACGCCTTGAAATATTGAAACGCATGTTAATTCTATAGTAATTGGAGCCACAGGAGTAGGTACTAGCCAAAAGCCTCAGCAGATACACAGACAAACTAGAAACATAAATAGACATTAGCCACCATTCACACAATAATCATTCTTAGCAAAGTACTAGGAGACACAGTTTTCGTCACATACATTCCAGATTCCGATCAATTACAACCATCTCAAGCGCAAACACCACATACCACTCAGTCAACCATCACATGAAGCTCACAATCCACATCTGGCACACAAACTACACCCAGTTAGTAGTCAAGTAGTCAGCAGAAGAGAAAGAAGGAGATTTATAAGTCAAATTTAGAAGGGGCTATGAGCATCGTTTTACTGCGGGTTGCGGGAAGCGGTGCCCATTTTCACCAGGTCAAGCCCAAGAAGGAGAGACCTCTACATATATGAATACAAATAAGTAAAACCTAGAATAATGCTGCCAGTCTTTTGGGCACCCTACTCCACGATAGCGATGAAAAAGAATTTTTTGATGCCCTAAGGTAACATTTTTTTTAAGGTGTGAATACATAACATCACGCCTTTTATCCCCGAAGGGGTAGGCAGAGGTTCACATTATGCCGCTGTACAATGTAAAACCCATTTTTCACTATTTATGTTATGAGTCCCATGTAATAGGGGGTGAGCCTATTGCCATATACCGGGCACAATTCCAGACTCCGTGCACTACTGAGAATTTTTAAAACCCAGTAATACTTTGCCCGACCCGGGAATCGAACCCGAGACCTCTTGCCCGGCAGTCGCACTTGCGACCACTCGGCCAACGAGGCAGTCCTTCCACTTCCAGGTGTGAATATGTACCTATTTTAGTTTATTTATAATTTAATATTACTTTGTTGTGCGTAGGTACTTAAAATGTTGTTCTAATTATGATATATACATTAATACAAAGATAAAAATAGTTTTACAAAAATAATACGGCTTTAATATTTGCAGCGATCTATGGGTTTCTTGTTTCTTGAGACAACAATATACGTCTGAATGTTAGAATAATTCCCAATAGTACCTGAAAAAAAACAAAGATTATTTTTACATGCAGAAATATGTATTTTATTTATTTGTTTTCTTTTATTTATCTAAGGTAGGTGTACCTTATTATTACTGATGTTACAAAAATAATATAGTATTTACCATCTCTAAAATAGGTTTCAAGCACTGCTGGTATAGATCGGCACTTTATCCGGACATCGTAAGACTCGTAACTGCCGATAAAAAATTGCACTATTGATATTCTGCAATGATGATGCTGAAGTAATATCGATGCAATAGCAATTCCAAATATCACTGTAACAAATATACAAAAGAAAAAGTAGAAATTTATAAAAAACTACATAGTTTGGTATCTCAATGAATCAAATAAAATGTATAATATAAATAGGTTCAATAGCAAAAATCATAAACTTGTTGTAGGTTTTACCTTCAGCAACATGATTGTATTCTTCGTATTGATGTTCTTTATTATAAATAAGATATATACGCAAATTAAAGCGTCCCTTTGTAAAATCAAGTCCAATGAATAGACAAACAAACACAATGTACTTTTGTGATTTGTGATACATATGTATACAAAAGGTCCTTTATAGAAAACACAACACGCATCGCAGAACTTCCTTTTTTAGAAAAACAATCACAAAATCCCATCACAAATTATTAAATAATTTAAAATATTTTTGGCAAAAATTTTTACAATTTTGACATTTCAAATTTTTGTTTTTGTTTCTTTTCTTTATCAAGCAAAAAGTATACATATTATATGCCAGTATTAAAATAGTACAAACTACATGCATACTATTTTATAGAAATAAGGAGATAATATAAAAAAGTATTTAATATCAATATCTAATTATTAACAATATTATTTTAATAGTTATTTATTATCTAAATAATTTGGAAAATTATTATTGTAATTTTTAATAATTTTTTAGCCCCAGCGTTGCCGTAAAAAATAATAATTTGACAATCCATATAGTACAAGAGCCTATGAACCCCAGACCTTGTTATTTATAACGGACTTAAAAAAAGGAAAAGTTATATACCTATAAGGTTTTTTTATGTTTCTTCAGGGATGACTTCGTCGTTTTTTAACGTATTTTGATGATTCTTTTTTAACCGACTTTAAAAAAGGAGTATCAGTTTGACCTAAATGTATATACATAATTATGTTACAGCCAATGTGATTAATTTGATATTATTCGTAATGACTAGTAATTAATGACTAGCTATTATGAATAATATCTTCGAAAACTTGGATAAAGTAAATCAGCAAATGGAAATGAACAGGGCTGACGTCTGCACAAAATTTTGAATTTATCGTCATGGGTGTCGTTTTCATGGTTTTCGAGGGTGATAAAGCCGATGGTCCTGTCAAATTGTAAATCCAAGATGGCGTGCGCACAAATTTTTCAATTTATCGTCATGGGTGTCGTTTTCATGGTTTTCGAGGGTGATAAAACCGATGGTGTTGTCAAAATGTAAATCCAAGATGGCGTCTGCACAAAATTTTGAATATATCGTCATGGGTGTCGTTCTCATGGTTTTCGAGGGTGATAAAACCGATGGTGTTGTCAAAATGTAAATCCAAGATGGCGTCTGCACAAAATTTTCAATTTATCGTCATGGGTGTCGTTCTCATGGTTTTCGAGGGTGATAAAGCCGATGGTGCTGTCAAAATGCAAATCCAAGATGGCGTCTGCACAAAATTTTGAATGTATCGTCATGGGTGTCGTTTCATGGTTTTCGAGGTGTAACAAAGATGGTGCTGTCAAAATGCAAATCCAAGATGGCGGCTGCACGATATTTTCAATTTATCGTTATAGGTGTCGTTTTCATGGTTTCGAGGGTGGTGAAAATGATGGTGCTGTCAAATTGTAAATAGAGATGATGACTGAACGAAATAGAGTTAGTGCATTTATCGAGAAAGATTGAGTATGTGTGTGAATGTGTGTGTGTGTGATAGAGAGACAGAAAGAATGCGTGCAACCTATTTTATAGATTTTCTATGAAAATTGAGTATTTTCATATAATATTAGTTTTTATATAATAAAAACGGTGGCCTAGACCTGAGGTTCACAGGCTCTTAGGTTAATGCTTTTGGATGCAGAAACCTGACGCAGTCACTTCATAGAGTTTAGTTTGTCATCCATCACTTAATATCTTTTTAATTCTTATTATTAGTAAAGAGGCTGTAATCTTTGATCGATTATGCCAGCATAACTGTCATTTGATCTAAGTTTAAGGAATTATTTTGTAAAAATTGCAATATAGTATTAAATAAATGTGTATAATGTTCTTTTACTATTTCCAAAAAATATTATTTTAAGCCTAAATTTTAAAATAATGTTGCAAGCTTGCTTGGAACTGTGTGGCCACTGAAAATATTAGTTTTGACAACATTTAATTTCAGGTTCGAAAACTAGATGTAGTTGACGGTCCGATTTTTTAAGCTGTCAATGGCTCTAAGTGTGACGGCCCTGATCAAAACATATTTTTCAAAAGTTGAACCGTTTTGCCGTTTGTTTTGTTCGTTGATAGATGGAATAGTTTACGATTTAATTAGTTAATGTGTAATTAGTGTTTAGTTTTAAGGCTTCAAAATGTTAGATCAGCGATATTCAGATAATGAAGTGTCGAGACGAGACATTCCTTCGTTTATCGAGCCTAGGCCTCCGTTGATACAGAATCCGTTTATGCGCCCGAGGCCTCAAAAGGGAACAAATTTACTGGAGTTATTTGAGGAAGATTCAGAGATTGAAGAGCCAGAGTTGGTGCAGGTGTACTTGAGATTGAAGCCGTGTAGAGTTCCAAATACTTTGTACGATGTTCGGTCAGATAAATGTCTGGTTACTTCGCTGGACACTGCTACCGCGGGGCACGGGCGCCGCACCCAGCACAATGTTTCCAAAATGTACACATTCTCCAAAATCTTTGGCGCAGAATGTAGTCAGAGGGTGAGTGACGTTCATCTTACTTTTTTAACTGTTTGATTTTGACCTTGAACAGGAGCAGCTGATTGTTATAAACTTACATGATACCTTTGATTCTTTACTAGGCACTAATCGAATAGTTGCTGCTGTTCTTGGATTTTGATACATCTTACAAATTCAATTTTATTGTATAGAAGTCTTTATTATGAAGAAAAGTTTCTTAGCAATTTCCAACTAGACCAATAAGACAATTCCTTTAATTTGTGATGTTGAATTCACCCATAAGACTCATTTCATGATGATAAGTTAAAATTGTATGTGTACTTTAACAACAATATTAATTTCCAGGAAATATTTGAAGCAGTTGTGAAAGAAAATCTCCGTAAACTACCAGAGGGTCAAAATTTTACTCTACTCACTTATGGGGCATCAGGGTCAGGCAAGACATACACATTGATGGGCACAGTGGGAGCCCCGGGCCTGGTGCCTCGCTCCCTGGAGTATGTGTTCCGACTGGTGGACGCTGCGCAGCAACCTGCCTTCAGACCTGCTGAGAGTGGAGCTGAGAAGCTAGGTCATAATGAACAGGATTATGAATTACAGGTCTTTAATAAAATATTAACTAAAATACTCATTTATGTTATTTTGATTTGATTGATCCATGCCATTTATTAAAATGTTATTATTAAAAAATTAAAGTTAAGCTACAAATTCAATGGCTTGCAACAGCAAGCAATGTTTAGGTGTGAAACCTTAGCAAAGAAGCAGATTCAGTTCATACTAATTAGAATATTATCCCAAGGCGTAAGCTGCATACCTAGAACTGACTCTACTCTTATTCCAGTGGGTGAAGCGCCTCCGGCACGTATCCGCGCCGCTCCGCGACAAGTACCGCCGCATGAGTGCACAACTGCACAGTGACCTCACTGCCAGCTCTATAGACCTCTCCAACAGGATCCGACACTATGTTTGGGTAAGAAACTCTGCACTTCTTTTTAATCATTTTCCAATTGGAGTAGTTTTTTTAACATTATAAATATTTCGTTTATTTCAGGTATCGTTTGTGGAGATCTACAATGAAGCAGTATATGACTTACTGGCACCGCCTGAGAAGAGGACTAAGTTAAGAATAAGAGAAGACACCTCTGGAAATGTTTATGTCAAGGTATAAAAACAAGAATTAGATAAGCAAGCTAATCTTGTATTGCTTCAGGACTTTCCTAGGTCTACAAAACCTTTGTCAAATCATTTCTAAACATAGTCAAACTATTTTAATCTATTTTAATAATAGTTTCTAATTATTTTACTTGTACAAAATTTGTCATCATGTAAGATATAAAACTTGTGTTGCTGCATATTGCAGGGTGCTACTCAAGCCTTCGTCCGTTCAGGTGAGGAGGCGTACGACGTGATGGTGGCCGGCAAACACAACCTCGTGGTCGCGGCCACCGGGGTACACGCGCACTCCTCGCGCTCCCACTGCATCTTTACCATCACCATGCTCACGGAGACATGTTAGTAAATAATTAGCTTTTACTTTCTAGGAAGTAACTGTTATTTAATATACATATATTAGTTTAGCCTGTGGTTTAGCTAGTAAATGCGAAGATATTTAGTAACAGAACAAAGCTAAACTAAAATAGGGCAATTAGGGAAGTTAATGCTAGCATTAACTTTCGTTACTTAAAGGATAAAAAAAACTTTAATGTCGTGATTGGCGTTTGGGCCCTCTATTAAATAACGCCAACATTTGGTCAGCAGCTGGTGTGGCTACAAGTCAAATATGTTTGAGCTCTCAGGTCTACATTCAAGTTGCAATAAGTATTTAACCCATCTCCAACATGTCATGCGGTACGCCGACAGGCACCATGCTTACTAAGCTTAACGCGCATTACCGGCGCTTTAAAGGCGTATGCAAAGAACGTAATATAATTTAGTTTCTCCTTATCAGCGGAAGGTGTCCGTACCTCGTACGTGCGGCTGTGCGACCTGGCGGGCTGCGAGCGCGCGCGCGCGACGCGCAACACGGGCGCGCGCATGCTGGAGTCGCGCGCCATCAACTCCTCGCTGCATGTACTCGAGCGCTGTCTGCACATGCTGCGGAGGAAGCAGAGGACGGGACACGAAGCTATGGTGCCCTACAGGTACAAAGAAAAACTATTCATTAATACTGCATTTATAAAATCCTTCTGACTTTGAAATAGATCTATAACTTTTGGAGCAATAGCTTCATCCTCATAGCTTGCTCTGCCGTATTATAAAATAACCCTTTACAAATAAATTGTGATTTGATTTGTCTTTATTTAACACTCATGCCACTTTGCAAGTTCACCTTTGAGAATTCACTATTTAAAGTAAATAAATTCCATTTGAAGATACTACAACTATTATTATTTCACTCCCAGAGAATCGAAACTGACCCGTCTACTAGGCACGGGTCTATCAGGCGCGCGAGGCGAGGCAGTCAGTATGGTGGTCACGCTCAACCCCTCGCCTGAATACGCACATGAAACTAAACACGTCCTCAGTTTGGCAGCTGTCGCTCAAGATATACGTGAGTAACAAACTTAGGATAGCCATAAACTAAATTAAGTAACATAATTGGCATTAAATATTAAATGAAGAGAAAGAACTTATTGACAGTTGATCAAACTTTGTTCTTAGATTTTCTATCACCATTATGAGTTTATACATTAATGAATTCTATCTTGAACTTTATTCCTGTTATTCAAAACATTAATACATTAACCTTTTCGCCGCCAACAACTTCTATAGAAGTTCAGGATTTTCGTGCCGTCCACGCCACTACTTCTATAGAAGTTCATTGTATCTACCTACTATAAAAAATACATTTACGATACATAAAACATTTGTTTCTTTGTAATTTTGTAATATGGACACGACGAACTATTTTTTCTCATGCAAAACAGACTATTTTCTGTTTTAAAAAGGTAAAACATAAAAGGTTTCAAATAATTTTATATCCCGCACGCCAACGACTTCATATCAAGTAGGCCAGTGATGTGACGCGTAAGGAGCATTCATTAGAATCTTTATTTACTATAATATTTGTTTTCTTTTCCATCCAAAAGTTTTTTGAATTCTATGAATAAAAAGAAATTCCGGTCAGTAAATAACGTTTACAATGCGTTTCAAAATTAATGTACATCTACCTATCAAATCATTTCATTAAAATTAATTATTATGTACTGAGGGTTTTCGATATTGCTAGACCCATCTCTACGTAATGGCAAGATGTCGAGTGACACTAGCGCCGTCAACTTCAATAGAAGTAAACCTGTGACGTCGTAAGCGCTTAGGCGTCAAGGTCATTGTGTCATAGTTCCGGGCGACGCGTGCACGCACATTTTTCTTTCCCAGTGCAGTGCAAAATGACCGAATATGATTTGGATGAGTTGTTGCGGCTGTTACAAGGTGTGGAACCTGATTCCGACTTTGATGTTGAATGGATGAAAATCGCTACTGCGCATCCCCCTCTACTTTCGTCTAGCGCTCATAATTAATCGCACGGCTATACCTATAATTATTTTCATGATTATGAAATATCCAAATGATTGAGTCATTTTGATTCGATTACAAACTGTTTGGGTCGCGAAAAATTTGTGATCGACTCAGGTCTATATTTGTTCGCCGACACAGCTAAAAGTTTGCGAAACCGAGAGCCGCAACGAATAGGTATTTTATGACTACCTAATATCCATCAAACGTGCCAGTTTATTTTAAATGTAAACTAAAACCAAAAGCAAACCAAACTCGATAGAAAGAAAGAAAAGCATAGACAACTATTCCTTACGAAATGTATCGTGCTTTGAACGCCAATGACTTGATATGAAGTAAACAGACTACGTTATGAAATGAATAGTGAAGTGGCTAATGTTACGAATTATTATTATTATCTCTAGCAACTCTATGCATGTATCTTCATCTCTGATAACGGATACCCATTTTTCTTAGTATAAATGTTCATAAAATAAAACAAATTACCATTATAACTTAACAGTTTGTATTTTTAATTGTAAATTTGAGTACCAATTTAAATTTACACATATTTTTTTCATTATCGACATGATGTTACCGCCATCCCTACTTTCGTACTATACATTTATTATACATTTATACGTTGGCGTACGGCGACACATCGTGTTTAGTATAGCTGGGCGGCGAAAAGGTTAATTATGGCTTTTATAAGTAGAGGAAACAATTAGGAACGTTATGGTTTTCCACAGAGATAAACAACACAATGTTAACAACAACCTTGGAGAGCAGTACCGCACAGGACACCACAATCGGGTCCAGTGCTGAAGTCATGAAGCTTCGCGCAGACAACGAGAGACTGCACTTTGAACTTGTACAGTAAGTATAGCACCAACCACAACAAAACACAAGTAAGGAAAAATGTAGATCTTCCTCTCACCTCAGCCAAGGCTACAGAAGTCATTACATGTTTTTCCAACTCAAAAAAAAAAAAACAAGAAAGAACAAGTTTTAGCACTGATATCATTTTCCAATACCCACCAAAAAATCAGGATGTGTTTACGGTCTCATACATCCTTATAGTTCACAATTTAAAATCTCCAGAGCTCAAGCCCGCAATAAAGAGCTGCTGGCAGCTATGGAGGAGAAACAGCAGGAGTCTGCGAATACCATGCGGGAACTAGTAGAGGAAGCCAAGGATATGACCAAGCAGTATTATGAAGCGCAACTCGAAGCTTTACGTTGTGAGGTAACAAATACAAATATAAATACAAATACAAATATTATTTATTTCGTCAATGTAGGTATGTTACAATAGATGGTAGATAATATTATGGTAGTGCGCCACATTGTGCCTGTACAGACATACAAAATAAAGATTGACTTATCTAAAACATCTTTTATTAAATTGTTGTTTTGAGTCAAATAAATTATAATGTAGTTCACAATCCTAATTCGTAACTTTCCACATTTTTATTTGAACTTTTCCTAACAAAGATACAATAAAGGTTTTTACAACACAATAAACAATGAAGCAATTTAAAATTACAGATGGAAGATATGATAGAAGAATACGAAAGCAGACTAGCGAAGGTGCCGGCACCGCCCAAAAGTGACGCTGGTACTCCGTCACGATTCCTGCAAAATAAAGTTAGTACAAATTAATATAAGAATATAAACGTCCATTCATGATGTGTAACCTTCGACCTTTATTACGAAAAGACAATATCACAGGAAATATTAGCACTAAACTCCACTTTCTTTTTCACAGGTCTCACAACTGATGACAGAAATAGCTGTGCTAGAGGTAAGCTCATAACTTCAATAAGTTTGAATTCCACTTAAAATATGCTTAGAATACGATTCATATCTTCATTTCTTGATTCCAGGAGAAATTAACAGCTGAACGACTCGCGAGGGCGAGAGCTGAGAAAGAAGTGGAACATCTTCGTACTTGTATTGAAGAGAGAGATGGTAAGATCTTAACAAAAGCTTGCGAATCTTTTATTTAGTTTTGTTAATAACTTAAGTTAATATAAAGCTATTCCCTATTTTAACATAGTAGCCAAGAGCTTTGTACTTGTTTTAACTGAAAAAATTCACAGTTGTCCCTCCCTTTTCAGAAAAAGCATTTAAAGATACAACTCCACCACAAGAAGACGTGATGTCTCTCTCAGAGAGCGAACAGGACGAATCAGACGAAGAAACCAACGATCCATTTAACGAGAGCCTCGAACCTATCTTCAAAAAAGAACTAAACAGATCAATTTCTATCGTATTACAAAATGAGAAACGAGACAATGGTAGCATTCATACTATAGAAAATATTGACGAGGAATGCGACAGTGATCTCGAAGAATCACATGAAACACTACAAAATGATGAAGATTCTAAAAACTCTACATATCCTGCAGGTGAAGATGAAGAATCTAGTAATAAAGAAATAACTACTGACAGTCTAGAAGAAAGTAAAGCTAACGAATCAAATGCAACATATCATGATGATAAAGGTGTTCTAAAAGTAAATGATGAAGAACTTATTACAAGCAATCAGTGCCAGGATGTTGATGATAGCCTTAAAAACGATGTAAACATGACATATGGTAGTGTAACTACTTATGACAAGGAGAATGAATGTCTAACTGATCCGAGAATAGAAGATGATGAAATACAGTTTAAAAATGAGAGCATTAAGAGTATAAAAGCAGATTTGAGAGGGACATACTTTGTTAATGATAGTAAAATTATTGAGAAATCAGTAGAAAATAAACAAAATTCGTTCAGGGGGACTTATTTCGTGGAAGATCCTGTCACAGATGTGTCGAAGATTAGTGAAACTAAACAAGATGATGTAACTGAAAGTAATGAAAATATCCCCAATGAACTTAGCACTGAGGTGTTTAAAATACCTATTGTTAGAGAAAAATCAGATCTTGACATCAAATGTTCAGAAAATGTAAGCAAAACTACCTCTCCCGAAATTAATGATAAGAAAGATGATGTGAACACAGATGAAAAGGTACCAGAATTGCCAGTTGGTAAAATACTAAGAGGAAAGACTCATATCGACATGAAAGCTCCAGACAAAACGGAACCGGTTAGTAGCCTTATAAGAGCAAAAACCAACATAAATATGAAGGCTACAGAAAAAGTCTCAGATACATTAGTTGGGAAAATCATCAGATCTTTCAAAACTCATCAGGGCAGTGATGCTTCACTAAGGCAATTTGAACAACTAGAGCAAGCTTCAAAGGACTGCCAGGATAATAATGATGATGATGAGTCGAACAAAAACTATTACATATTTGGAGATATCAAAATCCTGAAAGAAAAACGAACATATTTCGACAATGTATCAGACAAGAGCAATAATGCTACAAATAAAGATAAAAAAGCAAAAGAACCCACTGTAGTTAAAGAAAAGCGCACTTATTTTGATAATATCAGTGCCAACGTCGATGTCTCTAATAAGAAAATAAACAATTTGATCAAATATGATGAGGACAGGTCGCCATCTATTGTCAAAGACGCTGCTGCCGCTGACTTCGAACCTAGCACGATCAAAAAACTTCTAGGCGAGAGTTTTACAAAGTCAGACGTTATTTCATCCGTACATAAAACGAGGTTGACGAAGAAACATAACTCTGTTGACATATTCGATGGATTCGATTCGCCAATCACACAAAAGCCTAAAGAATGCCAGCCCGATGATAATGTTGAAATTGCAAGGAAATCTATCGAGAAACTCGTACTGAATCAGTTATCTGCTAAGAAAGGAACAAAAATTGATGTGGAACCTAGATTATCTATCAGAGAAATAATTGAACCTGAGGATGAAGAAGTACAAATTAATATAAAGAAAGAAATTAAGTTAGAGCCAATGTCATCAGTTGAAGAACCGAATGAAATTAGCAAGTGCAAAGCTAATATTACAAGGAGGCTAAGTTAGAGCCAGCAACATCCACTGATGAACCTAATCAGACATTTAACGATATACTAGCTAAAGGAGATAATACAATAGATGAAGCTAAACCAGATAATACAATCGAAGAATTCGAAAACATCTACAAAGATATCACGGCTCCCAGAGCCACAGAATTCGAATTACTCGTATCAGAAGTAAACAACGAAAACAATGATAAACATGACAAAGACGAAACTAAATACAATTTACGAAAGAAACAATCTAAAGCTGATGACCCTAAAATAGATAAAGGCAAAGAAGAAGAAGTAATATTGGCAGAAAGTCAAGCTAAATGCGAAAGCAAAGCTCGTAAGAGGAATCTCAGATTACGAAGACGGAAGAACCAGGATGACGAGTCTGATGACAAATTAAAAGATATAGTGAACTTACAGAGTGAATTCTCTGACGTCACTCTTGACGTCCCTGCTCCCAAAAAAGATGTTAACGATATACCGTCACCAGAAAAGGGCACGGAAGAAAATCTGCCACCTTTATTAGGAATACAGAGTTGTCCATCTAAAAGGTTAGTTTGTTTCTACAAAGTTCTTATTTGGGGAATTCTTCCACTACCTTTCTTATTCTATCTTCTTCTAAAATACTGTCTTCTTTACCTTTTCTATATTTTTCTATAGGATGCTTCGAAATTCGAAGCGGTCTCTTCGCATTAAGCAGCGACATGATTCTGACAGATGATAGGTAGTTAGTTTTATTTTTAAATTATTCAAGTAACATTTTTTATCTTGTTTTGTTTCAACTAAATATGGTGGACCGCAGGCTGATTAATTTGAGCCATTTGAGAGAAATTTTATCATGAAGGAGAGGCAATTTAATGACAATTCAGCTTCCTGTGTGAACTGGCTCTAAAGCGCATTCCACACTGCCATTAAGCGAGCGAACGCAAACAGAAAGATGGTTAAAATTGACGTTAGCGATATAATGCTGATGTGAATGCTCGCCCGGCTTACTAACTTGTGGTGTGATTTGTGCTTAAGCCTCATTTTGCCGCAGACTGTAAAATCTGGGAGATTTAAAATTATATATTTCTCCGCAGCGTCACTCGGAGTCGTCGCAAACTGTTCACTCCCCGGGCGGAACCTCTGGAAGAGTCCCTCAGTCAAACTGGAGACAGTAACGAACGCATTTATGTACCACGACCTTCATACCACCGTCCACGAGCCCGCCGTAAACTGTGAAATAGACGTATTTGTTCTTTTCTTTATCTAAATTAGTGAATATTTTATTATTGTATCAAATGACTTTATGATGTATCAATAAATATAATTATGGTTATTTTAAATAGTATTTTTTTATATTTATTTTATGTCACCTTCGTTTCACAGTGTGTCTTAAATTAATAAGTATTATTTTGACTATTGGGTCTTCTCGCGCGGTTTCACCCGCTGTTCGGTTCGGCTCCTATTGGTTTCCATAAATGGAATATCCAACCAAAAACATTTTTTTTTTAATTCTAACCGACTTACTGACGTTCTAACTTTGGTTCTAACTGTAGATTTGGAGCGCATTCAAACCAACGAACTCCTTCGGCTTTAGAATAATTATTAGTGTAGGTATCGAAAAGTGGGTGTTAGGTTAGGTTAGACATACCTAACACCCACTTTTCACCATTGCCACTTTACAATGTACATTGTAAAGTGGCATTAAACTGTCAAACACCAAGCGGTCACCGGTGACCGCGACCTATCGTTCTTTAATTGTGTCTATAAAACCGGTACTCGACGATTTAAGTGCCGTAGGTAATGTGCACCTCTGCCTACCTCTTCGGGGATAAAAGGCGTGATGTTATTAATTATGACTATCAAGTCAGATACAAACTTATCAGCATGGCGAGTAGAGAGCAGTGCAGTGAGTGAGTCAACCACTAAAAACATATATGAGTGATCCATAAAACTAAGAAGTGTAGCGGAAAAAAGGGGAGACCCCAGCAGCTGTAGCCAAATGCCATTTAGCGCTTGTCTACATGTAGAGTAGAAAACCAAATTATGGAATTGGCGTAAATTTTGACATTTGTCAGTGTCATCCCCATACATTTTGATTTCTACTCTCTCTGTAGACAAGCGCTAAAGTGGCGTTTGGCTAAAGGCACAGTTCAGTCAAGAACAAAGAGTTAAGTAATACGTATGTCAGGAATAAACGCCGTTTAGTGCAAAGCACCGGTGACATTTTGAAGGGATGGCAATAGCAAATGTGGAGGGCTTATTATTATATGGGAGGACAATATTAATTAGTCCAACAGTAACGTTACTCACTCTATGTGTGTGTACAAGTGTATTTCTGTGAGGCCGATGTAATGGTACCTCACCCAATCTGATCGAATCGCCTTTCGTGCCGAAGCATGACGTTTTTACATTTACAATACGACAATATTTTCTGAACGAAAGTAAATCTGTCAAACTTAAGACGCCATTTGCAAAACACAGCAAGTGTCAAATACCTGTCAAAATTGGCAGAATCACATTACACAAACTTTGTATTTTATTTTTCGTTTCGGGATTAATATTTGTTACCTACAAATTAACCGTTATTTCAACAATCAATTGATATTCGTAGACAATAAATAAAACAATGGCGACGGGTGCTCGCACCGCTGTGTCGCAAATTCTGCGTAATAAAGATGACGTTGGTGAGGAAGAAGATGAACCTAAAAAGAAGTCCAGGGAGGACTGGAGGAAAGCTAAGGAGTTGGAAGAGGCTCGGAAGGCTGGTACAGCACCTGCTGCTGTGGATGAGACAGGTACGGATTACAGAATCTTTCTTTAGTCTAGTTAAAATCTTGATGTAAACATGGTGCAGATATTCGTGATTGACCATTCGTTTTCTACTATTATAATTGTAGTTATAGTTATATTGAAGCGTAATGCTTCTTGTAATAAACCTGATAAAGAATAGTGACAATATTTTAACCATTTAACTAATGTCTAATCACTGTTTTCAGGCAAGGACATAAACCCTCACATTCCACAGTACATATCTTCTGCACCATGGTACTATGGCACATCTGGACCGACCCTGAAGCATCAGAGGCCACAGGAAGACAAGGAAGCTTCCTTTACTAAACTGGACACGTACTACCATAAGGGAGTGGACACAGTGAGTGGTGTTTTGAATATTCTATTTCTAGTTTTTGATCATGAATAAAATATAATGTATGACGTTAAGTATTTCAGTTATTCTAATTCTTTGCACAATCATGTAAAGTTTAATTCTATTAAGTAATAAACAAAACATAGGACTAACACTAAAGATTTCAATTTGTTTTACATGAAATTATTTATTGAACTAATCTTAGTACCTATTCATAAATAAATCTTATTTTCAGACCAAATTAGCAACAAAATATAGGAAGGGAGCTTGTGAAAACTGTGGAGCAATGACACACAAAAAGAAAGACTGTTTAGACAGGCCTAGAAAGGTAAGTTTTAGTTCATCTAAACTCTAAGTGCTACAACTTTGCTTTTAGCTAAGAAAAGTTTTTGTAGCTAAGAAAAGTTTTTTAAGTTGACACTGTTTGATTTCCCCAATTCCTGCCTGATTTTTTTTAAACACTTTAACAATTAAATGTGTCATGGGTGCAAGTTCACATACACATGGTGCCCAGACCCGAAACGGCAGCAGGTTGCCCAGCCGCCGCACCAACCGTGCAGTGGCTTCTAGATAGTATTGAATTCTGAATCAGTATAACAAGTTTTACACATTTACAGATTGGAGCCAAATTCACAAATGCTGGTATTGCAGCAGATGAGTTTGCGCAACCGAATTTGAACCTGAGTTATGATGGCAAGCGTGACAGATGGAATGGTTATGATCCTCTGCAGCACAAGGCTATCATTGAGGAATACCAGAAAGTTGAAGATGCTAAGAGAGAACTCAGAGCTAAGAAGTTGGAACAAGGTATGAAATAAAACTTCAGCTTCATCTGGTTCATCTGAAAATGAAGTTGATGTTCGTTAATATATTCTTTGGACTAATATATATATATGCATTAATTTACCTTAATTTATATTTATATATGCATTAATTTATCTTTTAAATTCATAATAAGTTATGTGTGGCAAAGAAGAGTATACATAGTATCCCAAGTAGCTTATAAAGTACATGTAATGTCAAATATAATTATGTATTTTTTACATACTTTTAATCATAATTCAATTATTTTTTAAATGTGTGGGTATTCAAGGCCTATTTGTAATGGTTTTCAAATATTTCCATAATATTGAATACTAAAGACAAATGTGTATTTTTATTTCAGATCCAACAGCCACTGAGGATGACGACAATGCTGAGGAAGATGAGGACAAGTATGTAGATGAAGTGGACATGCCTGGTACTAAGGTATGCATAATATTATACATATGATAATTATTATCTTATTATTGATTTATTGAGAAGCAAATTAGTGTTAATGAACTGTAAAAAAATACTTGCTTATTATAATTTAATATGTATACTTTAATTGTTCCTGTTAAACACAGTGCCTATAACTCTGTATCTGTGTGACTCACATGTCGAAGGGGACTCTAGTCACCAAATATTTTTTGCTTAAACAATCTGTGAAACTAATCGAAATTGAAAGTTAATTCTTCTTGTACCTGGACAATTGTTTTGTAAAACTTTTTATAAAGATTTGGTTGATTTTTTTTCAATACATATCAGTTAATTGAAGATTTAATTTAGTATTCGTTTGAGCAAGTAACTGTTCATACAAAAAAATGACTATTTTTAACCATTCTGTGAGTATCTTTTATTCACTTGTAGCTGTAGGGGTTAATAATAATCGTTTTTGTTGTGAGTGTCGTGCGTTCTATCGAAGTAAAATCTCGGACAGGCGACTCGATTGATACTCGCGCGCGTATACGTGTGAATGGATAAAATATTGTTTTTATTTCAGGTGGACTCGAAACAACGTATCACAGTGCGTAACTTGCGTATTCGAGAGGACACCGCCAAGTACTTGCGGAACTTGGACCCCAACTCCGCTTACTACGACCCCAAGACGCGTTCCATGAGGGACAACCCTAATCCTGCTGCGGCTGAGTAAGTTGTTCATTATCCACTCACACTCCAGGAGGGCTGTCACAAGCTGCTTAATTATATTACTTTAAACCCATCTAGCGATTTATTTTGGCATTATAAGTACTGTCAAAAACTACTAGATGGCTCTGTATTAAGTTTTAAGTTTAGTTTGAGTTTGAACAACTAATGGATAATAGAAATAAATTATGTATTGTTTCAGCATTATGTGAGTACTTTTTATTCGCATGTAGCTATAGTGGTTCTTAAGTAATTATTGTTTCTGTCGAGAGAGTCGCACGCGATTGTCACTCACGCACTTGGACGTGTGACGTGTTTCAATTAGCATGTAGTGAAATATTTTTTTTTCAAAAAACATAATTTAAATCATGCGAATTGAAGTAATGATTTTTTAAATACATATTTATGTGCAAGGAGCACAGATTCTAATAAATTATATAACTGTTTGTCTTCAGATCAGACTATCAAGGCGAGAACTTCGTCCGGTTTAGCGGAGACACTCGTTCTCACGCGGAAGCCCAGATGTTTGCATGGGAGGCGCAGTCCCGCGGCCTCGACGTGCATCTACTGGCCGAGCCGACCAAGCTGCAACTACTGCAGCGACAGTACCACCATAAGAAGGACCATTTTAAATCACAGGTTACTTGAAAGTCAAATTCTTTATTTTTATATACACCAATATAACACCCTTAAAATCAAATAAAATATTTGCTAGTCAAATAAAATACAAATGTCAATCTTTGCGCAAGCAACCAAAGCAAAAAGCTAGAGCTGTTTATCTTAAAAAGAAACTAAGAGAAAAGAAAAGTTAGTCTTACTAAAAATAATTTTTCAAGCACAGACATTAACTTAAGCACTAATCTGTGAGGCCTGAAATGCTGTTTTATCATTACTTATCTACAAAACAATATAATATTCATAATTTATAATTAATTCCAGGTGAAAGAATCCATATTAGAGAAGTACGGTGGCGAGGAACATTTGGCCGCTCCCCCCAAGGAGCTGCTACTGGCTCAGACGGAAGTGTTCACGAGATACAACAGAGATGGTACACTTGTACAGGGACCTGAGAAACAGCTCGCTAAGTGAGTACATAACTACATACATAGTATACGGACCTCTCCTTCATACTTGAAAAATTAGTTAAAATCTCAGTTTGAAATGATCATAAGACAGTAACTCTCGGAAACAAGGCAAACTAAGCTTTACTAATGTTGATTGTGTTATTTTTAGGAGTAAATACGAAGAAGATGTATTGATAAACAACCACACGTCCGTGTGGGGCTCGTACTGGCATGATGGACAGTGGGGATACAAGTGTTGCCACTCCTTTATAAAGGTATGTACTTTTCGATTATTGTTGACTGCATATTAATATTATTCTAAACTATTTTAATGGTATTTATTTTATAATCAGATGTCGTATTGCGTCGGCGAGGCCGGCAAATCCGTGGTGTTGGATGTGTCTGAAGAGAAAGCAACTGTTTCACAAGAACACATAGAGAAGAAAGAAAAAGGTAATAACCATTGATTCTTATATTTTGTAGCTGTAGACTCGCTGCACTTCTTTATTGTAGCTGCTCAAACTTAGTTTTTTTATCCCATGTTAATCAACTCATTTTAAACAATTTGTCCTGTAAACACAGAAATAATGAATCAAATTCTTGCTAAAACAAACCTTAGTATTTACATTAATTTATATAATATTGTATTATACAATCATGATTTCAACTTTCTACTTTCTACAGAAAAAGAAAAGGACAAAGCAGAAAAATCCTCATCATCATCAGAATCAAGTTCAGACAGCAGTTCCTCAGACTCTGAGGTGGAAATTAGGTCTAAGACAGAAAAGACTAGCAAGAAAAAGAAGAACAAGAAGAAAGCCAAAAAGAAGAAGAAGAAGGACCTTAAAAAGGAGAAACGGGAGGAGGATAAATTGAAAAAGGTATTTAATTGTGTTCAAAATTTAATAAGAAGTCATGGGGCGTGTTCAGTTGTGGGTATCTTGTTGCTGATATGATAATTAATTGCGTCTATCTTTAGGAAATAAGTGTGAACTTTAAGATTACATTTTTATTTTGGCACTTACAGGCTCTAGAGATGGAAGAAAGGCAACAAAAACGTGCAGATTATCTTCTTTCGGTGGACGAGAGGAAACGTCCGTACAACAGTATGTACGAAGTAAAGGCACCCACAGAAGATGAACTGGAGGCGTATAAAATGAAGAAGAGGCGCGAAGAGGACCCTATGAGCCAATTCCTATGATCATAATTGTAAATAAGTTTAATAAAATATAAATAATATAAAACATTTGTTTTTATCGCCTCATCGCAACCATGAATAGTGCAAATTGAGTGTAAAGCTCAGCGGCTCAGTGACTTACGCCAAACATGCTTTAAACTGTCAAACACCAAGCGGTCACCGGGGACCGCGACCTATTGTTCTTTAATTGTGTCTATAAAACCGGTACTCGACGAGTTAAACAAAAACGCTTTGTTGTTTACCTTCAACGCTTGTGAATCATGCAATTTTATCCAATGAGGTCATAAATGTGGCAGAATAGAAATTTCCTATGCCAATTTTAAAGTTTGCAATTAAAATACAACTGGTGTTACCAATAGAAAATATACATGTGTTAATAATAGTATAAATGGGTTACAAATGCTTTTGTGAGTGCATTGAGATCGACTCTAATAGTAGAAAATTAAAAGAAAAAGTATTTCTTATGAGAACTCTGTTAAGCAAAGAAGTATTCAGTTCCATGTCTAACAAGAATCCAACAAAAAATTACCATTTTTGGTAGATTTTTCAATTCGCTAACGCCGCCATATTTGTTGAAATGTCAAACGATGTTTCACTCTTGTCATTTTTCATTTCCTTTTTGATTAGTGGACCGTCCTATTCATAGTTTTTGTGATTGTTACAATAAATAAAGAGTAATGATGGCTGAAGACACGACAGCCGACGCGACGAGGCGACTGAACGTGAAGAAGCAGACCCTGGATGATGCCTACGCGGCACCGGCTAACTTCCTAGAAATCGACGTCGTGAACCCAGTCACGACCATGGGAGTAGGGAAAAAACGTTACACGGATTATGAAGTTCGTATGAGGGTAAGCTGCCGACTCTATTATTGTCATCTAATTAGATTAACGGCCGCTATCGACGCGGCAACGAGAATTAGTGGGCGTATCTCGGTGGGTCGCGACAGTACGCCGATACGATGAGATTATTCTAGCAAACCAAGTTTTTTCCTTTCAGACAAACCTGCCAGTGTTTAAAGTAAAAGAATCCAGCGTGAGACGGCGGTACAGCGATTTTGAATGGCTTAGAAACGAATTGGAAAGAGACAGTAAGGTAAGTCCAACATAATTTGATGATTGATAAAGAGTTCATGTTTTTCGTCTGTTATCAGTGAACAAAAATGTTTATTGTTACGTATGATTCATTTATGAGCAAGCTCTCTATTAATTTGATATGTTAACATGTTGTTTTTATGTAGCATGTTTATAATTTTTGGTATATTTTATTTCTATGCTAGTTTTGTTTACAAAATATGAGTATGAATGTGGAACAATTGGCTTATACACATTTAATAATAAAGAAAGGGCACTGAACTGGTGACATTCAAATGATTACACATTGATTGCGTTTTGCAGTTTGAAACAGAGAAGAACTCAAAACTTGTAACTTTCATCATTTTGTATTATATATGCACACATAGTAACTAATTAAATGAATAATAATTGCCTGGTTACATGCTACCATCATATTCTGTATCTAAATATGGTTTGAGGTAAACACATAGATTGTGCTTCTATACTAATCTAGAGTTATACTCTCTTTCCAATACTATATCTTGATGAATGAAATATTATGGGATACTGATGCATCACTAAAGGAAGTATGACTCACCACTGTCACATTATCAACTCAATGTAAAACATTGATTTTAATTAACATTCTACTCTTGACCTTTGTAGCATATAACAAAAACAATAAAATTACATAAAAAGAAATAGAGTCATAATAAATTATTTAATGTACAAATACTTTTTTGTAGATTGTGGTTCCGCCCCTACCTGGTAAAGCCCTCAAAAGACAGCTACCATTCCGTGGAGACGATGGTATATTCGAAGAGGAATTTATTGAGGATCGTAGAAAAGGTATGTTATAATATTGTAATCTATAGTTTATATCTATTTTATAAATGTGAAAGTTTAATTATGCAATCACATTAGTTAAAACATCGTTACCGATTGAATGCAAACTTAAATATATTAGATAATAGTCTGCAATAACATTATAGGATACCTTTTTCCTGAAGAAGTGAATCAGATATGTATAATATTGACTGTGCCTAGCAGGAATATCACCAAAAACCAGATACAACATTTAAAATCTGAATAAGGATAAAATTAGAGGGCAACCATCAATGTTAAATAGCAACAGTATTAGGTGTAACTAATATAACCTTGACTCTTGGTATTTAAAAACTTGTAAACAGAAAACACAAAAGAATAGTTAAAGCTATACATGATCATTAAGACAAATATTTTTTGCTCAAAACAATATGGCCATATCTGTTATTTGAATGCTAGATGAGATATTCATGTATCGATTATTTGTTGATTGTGTTATTTCCTACACATTTATTGGTAATAGAAAAATATACAATAGACATCCTATATTTGGTGAAATAATTAAAGAAATTGTTTATTGTTTTTTTTTCTTTAAATTCAGACTCATAGTAAAGTTTTGATACTTGTTGATCACTGTATCTAGCAATAAGTTATTAAAAGCATTTACTCATATGCAACATTGCATTGCAACAACTAGTTATGTTAATTTGAATGCATCATGCATTATTTACTGTTTTTATTAAGTTAATCTTTATCTGGATGATCAAGTACAAGTCTATACTCTATAAATTCATTGAATGATTAATATTATCTTGGTTTAAACATACAAACTCCTCTTTTATCTTTATGAATGAGAAATTTTGTATATTGATTAATTTTGATGTCACAATGAACGTTAATATAGTTAAACAATTTATTTTGATTCTTATAAGAAACTGCTCTCACAGGCAATTCTTCTTTATAATTCTTTTTTTTATCTATAAAAGTTATGTGTATTAGTGGACTTTTTAACAAATAGTGTCTTTCGCTAACAGCATAAATACTTTGAAAATGTGCCAAAATAAAAGTAGTTGTACCAGACAAATTATCATAACAATGTCTCCCATTGTAAGGGGCAATGCATACGTGTAATTTATTAGCTTGTTTGCCTATGCTAAGGGGTCACACTGTTATTGAAAATTTAACCTTTATCTAATAGTTGCTACTTCTGCGCGGCTTCACTCGCTTTATTCGGTCCCTATTGATCGTAGTCTGTGAAGCGTAGATCGTGATCTTTTTTAGCCTATAGCCTTTCTCAATAAGTGGACTATCCAACACAAAAAGAATTGTTCAAATCGATCTAGTCGTTCCAGAGATTAGTGCGTTCAAACAAAGAACTCTTCAGCTGTATATCATTACTAGCTACTTCTGAACGGTTTCACACGCTCTGCTCAGCTTTTATCGGTCGTAGCGTGATGTTTTATAGCCTATAGCCATCCTCGATAAATGCGCTATCCAACACAAAAAGAATTGTTGAAATCGATCTAGTAGTTCCAGAGATTAGTGCATTCAAACAAACAACTCTTCAGCTGTATATAATAGTGTAAGGAAAAATATAAGATTTTGATACCTATTTCTCAAGAGACATGATTATGACGCGCAATTAGCCATCTCAGGTTGGGCGGCTCCTCCTCATCCTCTTAAATTCTTCTCTAAAACTCTCCTCTTAAACGTCTATGACTTAACCAGATACTCAAGTCTTCTCCTACTCATGGAGATGGCAAACCCCTTGTTCATCAGTGGATATACATTGTTCTGATCCTAATGACATTTGAACGTTATCACTATTTGATATATAAGATATTTTTTATCAAAAGATTTAATGCATTTAAATTTTACATATCAACATGTATACAAAGTAACTGCAGATAAATAAAATGGAGGTCTTTGAACTTACATAAAGGTCAACAACATTGAATGTGTACACACACAGTTGTGATTTTAATAACTTTTGGTAGAATAATACTTTTTACCAATAGTTTACGATTTGCCATAAAGGTTTCCCCTTAGACTGCATGCGATTCTCAAAAAAAAAAAAAAGCTTAAAAAACAATCAGTTGCCTCTTCCTATCCAGACCCTTGCATGTTCCACTTGATTTATGTGTTGTGTGCACACAAACGAAACCATAAATTGATCGAGTCAGATTGCGTGTGAACTGTGAACATCTATCAGTATTCGAATTTAGCTGCACGAAAAATATAATAACTCGGTACTTTAAACGAAGAATACTTGAAATTACGTAGTTCTTGTAATACGAATGCATTATTTACTACTAAAATGTATGAAGTATTTGTATCACCCTATGAAAATTAGTTTAAGGTTTCGAGTAAAATATAGAAGGGTGATGAAGTCCGTTAAAATAGTGGTAACGATAGCTCGTTCATTTAAAGAAGTCTTAGAAAGTTTGAATGACTGCTCAAGCCATACGATAGTGTTATTTAATTTGATATAAACTTTATTTATAAGGCAGTAGGAGTTACTTTTGTAATACCAGAAAGATTTACTGCATATTCTATATGTATTGAATGCTTATTTGGCATTATTTTTATTGGATGCAGATGTAGGTGAACTAAAAATCAATATAATGGCTCATTGGTTTAGTGGTTGAAAGATCGACTATGTTACCGTAGTCAGGCAGGTAAAGCATTAACTTTAAAACTCAATAAAAATATAAATGAATTACCGTTCGTTTGTCTCGCTAAATCTCGAGAACGGCTGAACCGATTTGGTTAATTTTGATCTTGAAATATTCGTGGAAGGTTTAAAAGGTGAGAAAAAACCGATACGACCTGAAGGTTTGTAAACGTTCAAGAAAAGAGCGTATTCCTTTTTAAAAGGCCGGCAAAGCATCTGTGACTCTTCTAGTGTTGCGGGTGTCCATGGGCAGCACTGATTGTCTGGTGATCCGTCTGCCCGTTTGCCTCCTATTCCATAAAACAAAATTATACTGTACGAAGTTTGCCGGTAAGCTAGTAGAACAATAAATTTTATTGCTGAAGAAACACCTCTAATAAGATCCTATTCAATATAGGTATATTGCCCACATTTGGCAGGCGGCTTGGAACCATCTCCAACCTAACTGCCATCAGTTAGGCAACATAAAGTTCACAATTTTTTGTGACCAACTTTTTATAGTCATATTTTTATAATCTGTTAAAAATGTATAACATAAATCAGGGTGAGTGAAGTGGGCGGTACTTGTTCGAATAATTATTATGCGTGAGCGTGACGTTATGTTAGTATCAATATTTTTTATCTTGCGGATATTAAGCCTTTTATAATTTACATATTATAGACAACATGACTAATAAAATAATCTACACGCGTTATCGTAACTATTGTAATCGTCTTCTTCGTAAATTAAAAACTGCATATGAAAAAAGCTTAATAGACCAGGCCGGTAACGATCCAAAGGCCCTCTGGCAAGCAATAAAACAAATAACAAACACAGATAAGCCTAAACATAATGCTACAGAACTACTAAACATATCAAGTAATCCAAAAGAGTCTACTAACCATGTCTGCAACTACTTTACAAGTATAGGTAAAAATCTGGCTGATAGGGTTGCCTCTAGTGTCACTCATACCGTTGATACAAAACACACATATCCAAATGTCACACAGAACTCACTTGTCCTCTTAGAGGTTACAGAAGCAGAAATTGAAGCTAGCATATTACAACTTCGAACCGACTGTGCCACGGGCTGGGATGGCATTTCGTCACAGATCCTTAAACGATGTCGCCATATACTGGTTCCCCCAATCACTCACATTTGTAACCTTGCCCTTATTACTGGAGTCTTCCCCGATGCGCTCAAAAAAGCAACAATTTGTCCTATATACAAGAGTGGGGACAGAGGCTGTGTCAACAATTACCGGCCTATTGCGGTACTGCCTGCGATCTCCAAAATACTGGAAAAAATTCTGAACATCTCACTAAAAAAGTTTTTGGATAAATTTAATATATTGGCCAATAATCAGTATGGATTTCGTTCAGGCTATTGCACGGAAGACGCGGTATTGGATCTAACAAATGTCATAGTTAAAAAATTAGATGAAAAAAGCAAATGCTTGTGCATATTTCTGGACCTTTCTAAAGCTTTTGACACGGTCTCTGTCCCATTCTCCTTGCTAAATTAAATAAACTGGGCGCACGAGGTATCACCCACAACATTTTTGAAAGCTACCTAACAAATAGGAAACAACGTGTGAAAATAGGAAGTCATGAAAGTGATGAGGCTGAGGTCACTTATGGCGTGCCACAAGGAAGTATTCTTGGCCCTACCCTTTTTCAGATCTATATCAATGACCTCTGCCAAATTACTCTTCCAAATACTAACATATTCACCTACGCAGATGACACCGCCATATTTGTTTGGGGTCCAAACTGGAAAACGGTTAAGGAAACGGCCGAATACTCCTTATCTAAAGTGATGGAGTGGCTCTCTGTTAACCTGTTAACATTAAATGTTAACAAAACTCATTTTATGGCCTTCTCCATTCGTAAAAATACAGCCCCACCACGTGACTTCTCCATCAAAGCTCACATTTGTCACTCTCGACAGACTGACTGTGCCTGCGAGGTAATAACTAGGGCAGAAAGCGTCAAATACTTGGGCGTTAACTTGGATGATCGACTGAGATGGGATAAACAGATAGACACTGTAACCTCCAGAGTGAGAAGGCTAATACACGTATTTAAACATCTAAGAAATTCTGCCCCACCAGATAAATTAAAATTCGTCTATTTGGCTCTGTGTCAGTCCATTATCCAATATTGCATACCAGTTTGGGGAGGGGCAGCCAAAACGCTTTTTCTTATGCTTGAGAGAGCACAAAGAGCTGTACTGAAAGTGATGACCAAAAAACCATATAGATATCCCACTGCAAAATTGTACTCTGAATGTAAGGTATTAACAGTCAGACAGCTCTTTGTGCTCAAATCTACTTTGAGAAGGCATCGAAATGTCCCACTACCGAATCCAAACAGACGCAGTAAGATGCCAGTATGCCCGCAAATCCCTACCAATACTACTTTTGCCAGAGGACAGTTCAATAGTCTCAGTTGCAAGCTCTACAACATAATTAATAAAAACCTGAACATCGTACGACTCAGCCGAAAAGAAGTCACAAGAAAAATCAGTGATTGGCTTCAGCAAATGGATTACAACGAAACTGAAGGTTTACTTGCGTATATATCATAACCGACACACACATACATACACACACAAACACACACACACACACACACACACACACACACACACGCGCACACACCCTCACACACACACACAAAATTCCGGAATATTAACCTAAGTAGTCCTTTTAACTTTCCCTTTATATTTTATTATTTTTGATTTTGGATTACAGCTCCTTCCATTTCATTCATTCACTTTCATGACATTCACTTCATTATAGAGTAACATATAATGCGACTTCGTGACATACTCTAGGCCTGAATCACTGTTTTCCAAAATACAAGCTTATAGCTTAGTTTGGAAAGCAGTGTCAGTATCGATCGTAATTCACACTCGTTCATGTAATTGCCGCATTTCTGTGAATGTATTATTGTGAAATTTTTGTACAATAAACAATTTTTATTTTATTTATTATTTATTTACATACGATAGAACAATTTTATCTTGGAAATATCTCGATTTTTCATTACTCATTGTTGTGATATAGAGACAACAATTATAATTACATATAGCGTTAATATATTTTGAATATTCTCGCTATAACTTATTATTCTAGTACCTACTTATTATCCTTCTTGTACTGTCTTGTATTGACGTCAGTTCGAACGATGTTGGTATGTATAAGCTTTATGGTTTTCCTGACCAGCCTATAGATAAGAAAATGGTTTTAAAATAGAAACTATTTTCCTTAATTTGGGTTACAATTATTATTATCGTTCTACATTCAAAGAAATTGTTATTGCGGAATTTCCAATAATGACATGTGGTTGTTGTAACTTATTATAATTGAATTATTTAATTATAAGATGTTACCAGTACTTTTCCCTATTACTTATAAACATAAGAAATTAATAATGATGCATGTCAATCTACCATATCGGGAAGCACTGATTGAGACATTTAAACAGTTCTTTGTATTAGTTATTATGTTTTCGGCTTACTCACGTAACTGTTTGACGAGGAACTCGACTAGTTTCAAGCCATGCTAGAGGGTCATATCATTTAGTGTCTCACGAAAGTTTTGATATAAACAAAGTTCTTTGTATCTTCAAGAAAAGTATAATATGACTCATAACATAACATACCATCACGCCTTTTATCCCCGCAGGGGTAAGCAGAGGTGTACATTATGCCACTGTATAATGTAACACCCACTTTTCACTATTTATGTTATGACTTATGAGTCTCATGTAATAGGGGGTGAACCTATTGCCATATATACCGGGCACAATTCCAGACTCCGTGCTACTGAGAATTTATAAGAAACCCAGTAATACTTTGCCCGACTCGGGAATCGAACCCGAGACCCCTTGCCCGGCAGTCGCACTTGCGACCACTCGGCCAACGAGGCATTCAATAATATGACCTATTCAATATATTTAACTCCAAGCCACTATTATCTTCTGAAAGTTTTCAACCGACTTCAAAAAAAAGGAGGAGGTTCTCAATTCGACTGTATTTTTTTTGTAACTTACAGCTCCTATTCTCAGCCCAACTACGTTATAGAATAGAACGACAAACTTTAATATTCAGATACACTATATGCAATGAAAACATAGCTAATTAAAAATAATGATAGTATAGCAATCCATGTGCCCATCCAGTATTGTACTGTATCACTATAATACCAGGTACACTATTGTCACGATATTGTCACGAAGTTACTAATTAATTCTTATATAATATATAATTTAGTACAACTGCCTCATGCTCTGCCTCACTGATACAACTGCCTCACTGACTGCCTCATTGGCCGAGTGGTCGCAAGTGCGACTGCCGGGCAAGGGGTCTCGGGTTCGATTCCCGGGTCGGGCAAAGTATTACTGGGTTTTAAAAATCTCAGTAGTAGCACGGAGTCTGGAAAATTGTGCCCGGTATATGGCAATAGGCTCACCACCTATTACATGGGACTCATAACATAAATAGTGAAAAGTGGGTGTTACATTGTACAGTGGCATTAAGTGCCGAAATGTGTACCTCTGCCTACCCCTTCGGGGATAAAAAGGCGTGATGTTATGTTGTATGTTGTTGTTGTAATTTAGTACAACGTCCGTAGTGTATAATTATTTTACAATATATTTTTATATATATTGAGATAAACGTTTATCCAGTCGCTGCGTTAACTGTGCTGTCTAATCTTTATTTAACAACTTTTTTACAATTTCAACTAAATCATTAACAAAAGTCTACAGCGGAATCTTATACTTTACTTTATTATCTTATATATTATACTTATGTATATAAAGCTTAAGAGTTTGTTCGAATGATTGTTTGTGTGTTTGTTTGTTTGAACGCGCTAATCTCCAAAACTACTCGTCCGATTTGGATAATTCTTTTTGTGTTGGATAGCCCATTTATCGAGGAAGGCTATAGGCTATAAAACATCGCGCTATGATCAATAGGCACTCAGCAGAGCGGGTAAAAACGCGCGACACTAGCTAGTTAGTTAATAAAATTCGTAGCATGTATGTAACTGAAATTCAGATAAAGCGTCCAAAGCGAATTTCATTACAGTTTCGTATTAACATTATCAGCGATACGACGCTATCTCGCCTTGTATTTGATGTATTATATTAAAATTTGTACATAATATTTGACGCCATCTGATATCGAACGCTGGTCGTAAAACTGGGCGGATACATTTTTTACCAGTAATTTGTATTTTACTATTATTGCCAAAATTGATTATGCTAATTCTGCCTGCGGTTTCTCTTGTGTGTAGGTTCCATGCTCTGGGAATATCGGAATTAAAAATCTACTTATATTTTTCTCTGAATTATTTTAATGATAAAATAATTTTAATTTGTCATCTGTCTAGATACTTACATATTTGTTTTGTTATTTATTTGAATGAAAATCTTATGATCATATCACCCGGAAGTATTTTTCAATTCTTATCATTTACTTTCACAGCTAAAAAACTTCAGATCTTATGATTTCAATATTAGATAACTATTTCAATTTTATCAGCACGATAACCTAAGTGTATTAACGATAAGCTGTTTAATTTATTTGTTTTTTTTTCGAAGTAGCCTTAGCATAGCATCATCAGAAGCCAATAAATGTCCACTGCTGAGCAAACCCTCTTCTCACACGAGAAGGTTTGAGCAGCGAGTTGGCGATTTAAAACTTGTAATTAGAAATTATAAGCCCAGATTTCCTCAAGATGTTTTCCTTCTCCGTTTGCCAGTGGTGTCTGATTAATCTTAGAAAGTACACATAACTCGCAAAAAGTCACATTGGTACTTGCCGTTGGTAGATTTCGAACCGGCACACTAATGCATGAAAACCTTAAACCTCTAAAACCTCAGGGCCACTACAACACGACTCATATAGCATAACATTACATAAATAAAGACATCTTTGTCCAATGAGAGACATATGTGTAAGCAGAAATTCCTTGCGTAAAGTTTCGTTTATTAAAACATTATTTATTAAATTTCCAGGTCTGGAAGTATTCATCAACAAGATAGCCGGCCACCCGTTGGCGCAGAACGAGCGGTGCCTTCACATGTTCCTCCAGGAGCCCACCATAGACAAGAGCTATGTCCCCGGAAAGATACGAAACACATAATAGACAATACCGGAAACAGATGCGAGCTTCGAACTTTAAAACCAACCTCCTTGTGTCACCGTATTGGCCTATTACCAAAAAGGTTTTGGACTCGTGTTATAGTTCCCCTTGTTAAACGTGATGTTGATGTTATGTGTTATGTATGTGCGTTCGTAATTGCAAATTCACGCGCACATCGACCTTGTGTGTGACCCCAGTCAATATCTTCACTATTTACAAGGTTCGCAGCTACACAGATTATTCCTATAACAAATGTATGTTGATTGTGTCAAAATATATGAATTTGATTAGTGAAAGTGTTTATGGTGACATAAATTCTGTCTGGTACACGGAGGAGTCAGGTACAGGCGTCTGTGTTGCAATGTGTTACGTAATAAATAGACAGCTAAAAGACAACAGGTATTGAATGTTGATAGGCCAGTCTCTCCACCAAGTGAGTAGTTTTAAAGTTCCTCCCGAATGTTATTGCAGTTGTGACATACAAATATCAATACCTTGCCTTCTAGTTTTTGTTATGAAACACAATTTGCAATAATCTTCAGTGATTACAATATAAATTATCTTAAGGTAATGCAAACTATTTGAGACAACAACATTACACAGCACAGCATTCCACAGATTATATTTTATAAAAAAAAGAAAATGCTCTTTTTCATTTTTTAAAAATGGAACAGCGAACGACTCGAGGTGCATAATGTTTCGCAGTATATAATGTATTAGAACAAAAATAAGTTATTGTTTAAATGATGAAGCAATATAATTGGGGATTGTTGAAATTATTAGTAAATCTATCAAGCTCATAATTTGGTCACTGTTTTGTGGTTTGCCATGTATATTTGGACATGTAATGCATTATAAATCTCATTATTTTAATGGCTAATTCATTTTTATAATTTCGTTAAGGAAATTGTTTGTATTTATTGTGTGTTACTCTATGGGTAGATGTAAAGATGTGTTAACGGCTGAGCAGTTTTGTATAAAATTGTAATGCACCGTTAGTGCGTTAAAAGAGCGAAAGTTAAAAATAATCTGAATAACATAGATGTAAATTAGGTAATAGTTTAAAAAACGTGTTTCTTTATTTACAGGGGTGATCAGAAGTTTGGCAATATTATTTATAGAAATGGAAAAAAAATGAATTCAGATAAGGAATGACACTGAGCCTTTTTGGTGTACAAAAATAAATAAAAAGAGTTAGCTTTATATCACTAGCTATAAAGTGTGTCCATCATTAGATAATAATCGACTGTTTAGTTACACAGAAGTATAATTTACATGTATTTTCGTTGTACACCAAATAAAATTGGAATACAATGTATTATGTCTATCGTATTAGGATAAATAAATTTGCTATCATGTCATTGCGTGTTTTAATTCGTAAAGCTATTTATTAATTTTTATTTCGACCATGTGAGAAGATAATTTTCTATTTTGCGAATGAGTTTATGGTCCTATTTCCTAGTTGAGACATTAATAAACATTCTCTTGGTCTGTATATCTTAAGCTACACTAGCGCCTCTAGTAGCGCAAAAACACTAATTAACAAATGATTAAAATGATTGTCTACAAAAAATACAGAATAGGTACAACTTGCTTACACTCATAATAATGTATTTAATGTAATTAGGAATTACATACAAAAACAATTAATTAGCGCTAGGTTCGTGTGTGTCGGACTTGGTTTCCCCGGCGAGAAAGCGACTGTTCCCGCCGTTGGGTAGAGATTCTTCCTGCCGCCACAGCTTCTGACCGCGGATTTCTATCTCTTCATGCCATGCTTCTTGCGTTTTCCTGTATTTTAATAAACATTAGGTAACGTTACAGTGGCTAGACTTTTGTGATTGGTGACAAGTGAATTTATTTCTGCAAAGCAGCACTTTTACACGTCAATTGCATCAAGCGAACGACGAGGTCGACATTTCCTAACTGACTACACTGAGAAGAAATGCCGAAACAAACTTAGAGGTCCTTTAAGTCCAGATAAGAATTTATATAAACGACGTAACTTAATGCAATTAATGTGCATGCAACACATTGAGTGCGGTGAGTACACAATAGGTATCTGCAGTTATTCCAAATTCTGTCTCAATGGACGCTTAACTGAGCAATGTATAATCTATGTTCAGGTGTCTATAGAGGCACCGTCATATCGAGATATTTCACGCCTAGAGTTTCAACCTTATTTGTATTAGAAATAAAGTCGAAAATCCATTAAACAACTTCAGTAACTTAATATTTAAGCGTTCATAATGACCTGCAGTTGTCAGTGAGCGGGCTGGTGTTGGGGAAGACATTCTGCAACATGAGTAGACAGGGCAGCACCACCACTGACAGGAACTGGATCTGTTCCGCCGGCTGGTTGATGCTGCGGCGCCGGTCCATCATACTCAGCGGGGTGTAGCCCATCGCACGCTCGCGGTCTCCCTGCGGGGAGGTATTATGATGACCAGTTGGGTGGTTCTAGTGCCTAGGGAGACAATTCAATTTTTGCCGCCTTTACCGACTATTAGCCCTATCTCGTTAAAGTTTTCTGGAATGTATTTATGTATGTAGAAAACGAATGTCTGGCCAGGGCCAAACGCCACTTAAGCGCTTGTCCACAGAGAGAGTAGAAATCAAAATGTATGGGGATGACACTGATAAGTGTCAAAATTTACTTCAATTCCATTTAATTTGATTTTCTATTCTACATGTAGACAAGCGCTAAATTGCATTTGGCTACGGCTGCTGAACTGCAAAAATTGAATGTGACCTTAAAAATAAAAATGACGATAGACGAAATAGTGTAGAACTTAGCGTTCTAGTTTTTATACGACAAAATGGTAACCTGTTCATAAAATTCTTCATACACGGACTCCGCTATCGCCTTCGATATGCCGAATGGTTTGCAGCTTCCAGACAGGTCACTCGTTGTCATAAGTATACCCTGAAAATCGTATCTTATATTAAACCAAACAAAATAAACATCGAATATTATGACAAATTCTGTGTAAACGAAAAGAAAAAATAATCAAAATACACGAAAACTAGAACAAAGATAGTTGTAAAATATGAGCTTTTTTATGGCATAAGCCGGTAAACGAGCAGACGGATCACCTGATGGTAAGCAATCGGCGTCGCCTATGGACACCTGGAACACCAGCGGCGTTACAAGTGCGTTACCGGCCTTTGGGGGATTTGGAATATGGGGATTCAGAGATTGGGGAAGAGAGGGGGGGAGTTGGGCCTCCGGCAACCTCACTCGCACGAAACCAACGCAAATGTTGTTTCACGTCGGTTTTCTGCTCGGCCGTGATATCAGGCGATACAGGGCACTCCACACTCAAAAAACAGTCGAGATTATTCTCACAACCAATGACATGTAGGGCCGCTATCGAGGGCAATTCAAAAGTTCGAATTAACTTCTTACAGAATAGCCTAGCTGTTCTACTTCGTATTTAACGTATTTTCCATCAGTCCAGTCATACAAGTGATGCGATTGTGGGTGTAGTGCGAAAGGCAATTTATTTATATAATCTGATAAAACAATAAACTTTAACATTCGCGTGTACCTTGAGCATCCGTCGATGTGAGTTGTCAGTCCAGTCGAAGATTCTCTCTGCCAGTAGCGGCGTGAGCTGCGCCCTGATCTGGAAGTAGATGGCCAGGTCCGTGCACAGGATGTTGTACTTTATCTCCTCCATTATTCGGTGCTGGTCGCTCGGAGTCATTCTGCTTAGGATCTTTTTGTCCTGGAAAATTAATGAAACAGATATTTATTTACTAGAATATATTTTAAACTGCGTGGTTACCTACTTCCATTAATCGTCATTAGAAGTGAGAAAGAGATATTTATAAGTACGCAGATAAAAAACGGGGTGGTTTTTAGACAGTAAGAGTCTGACTCAGGTGGGAAAAATCATTTGATGATTCTCCCCCCCACCCCCTCTTCAAAAAACACGCAGGTAAATAAATGTGGGTAATAAAATGTGTGTTGCTTTTATTGTCAAGTTTGTTGTATTGGATATTTGGATTGATTCTAAGTAGCAGCGAGCCCCCTCACTGCTTTATTCTACAAGAATGTGTTATCCTGAATCCGCATTACCTAGGTTAATAAAAGCTTTATGATCTTGTCGTATATTTATGTTCTGCTTCCAATTTCGAATGAAAATCTAAAGAACGAATATTTTGTTACACTAGTCCAATAACATTTACCTCAATAATCTTCTTGGCGAGGAAGTAGTGATGGTTCTCGAGCGTGGATGTCCTGTACATGCTGGCGAGCGGATGCTTGCAGAGCGTGAGGAAGTTGTTGTTGAACCCAGGGTGGTCCAGGTCGTGGCACAGGCCCGCCAGCATCAACGATATCGTCTGAACAGAACACATCGGAAATATTGGTAGGGAGATGAAAGATGACAATTTGCCCGTATAAAGCGGATATGTAAATGAACACTGTACCTGTTGCACATGAGATTGGTTAACTAACAGCGACTAATTAATATCTATACTCTTTAATATATAACTGCCTCGTTGGCTTAGTGGTCGCAAGTGCGACTGCCGGGCAAGGGGTCTCGGGTTCGATTCCCGGGTCGGGCAAAGTATTACTAGGTTTTTAAAAATTCTCAGTAGTAGCACGGAGTCAGGAATTGTGCCCAGTATATGGCAATAGGCTCACCCCCTTACATGGGACTCATAACATAAATAGTGAAAAGTGGGTGTTACATTGTACGGTGGCATAATGTGCACCTCTGCCTATCCCTTTGGGGATAAAAGGCGTAATGTTATGTTATGTAATTTGAAGTCTTTACTCCTGCCGATAAGTGTCATATTTGTTTACTAAAACTTAAAACTTGACGGCACGGTTGGTGCGGTGGCTGCACCAACCAGTTGCGAAACGTGTAGCGGGATCGATTCCCGCACGGAACAACTCTTTGCGTGATCCACAAATTGTTGTGTATGTTCACGATACAGGAGAAAAGCCAGGCACTACCTATTCACTTAATCTACTATTAAATATATATCCAACTAAAGAACTATATAGAAAATTAAACAAAACATTGGGAATACCTCAATAAAATCGAAGTATCCAGGGTTATTCAACAGTATGAGATACATGGTGTGTGTGAAACAGAAGGCGTGCTCAGCGTTATGGTAGGGGTTCTCCCGGTAACTGCAGAGTACAGATAGCAGGAAGTCCGCCATTGCTATCTTGTCGAAGTTCCTGTTCGTGAACGTCTCGGAGAACATTATCCAGACGAGACTTGGCATGTCTTCCTTGCTGCCTTCACTTATGTGGTAGTCGAAACTGGAAACGAATAGAGATACGTTGGGTAAAAAAACGGTTGGTCACGTCTTAAATTTTAAGCAACTCCTAAGTTAAGATAGGTGACACTTACAAGATTTAATTTTTTACCAATTTATAAGTGACTGCCTCGTTGGCCGAGTGGTCGCAAGTGCGACTGCCGGGCAAGGGGTTTTGGGTTCGATTCCCGGGTCGGGCAAAGTATTAGGTACTGGGTTTTTAAAAAAACAATCTCATTGGTAGCACGGAGTCTGGAATTGTGCCCGGTATATGGCAATAGGCTCACCCCCTATTACGTGGGACTCATAACATAAATAGTGAAAAGTGGGTGTTGCTTCTGTGTGCACCTCTGCCTACCCCTTCGGGGATAATAGGCGTGATGTTATGTTATGTTATAAGTGAAACCTAGTCGAATAAGGTAAGGAGTTAGTATATGTGCTCATGCTAAATAACTCTAAGTTAAGATATGGTTTGGGGCGGTTGGTGAAAACAGCCGTAACACTCCCTCTTGCCTCACCCAGGGCGAGAGGAGTCACTCGATGAATTTCTACCTTCACAAAAAAAGATCCCCAAGCGGTCACCGGTGACCGCTCTCCACTACCTACATTATAGACCTTATTTCCAATGCTTAGAGATTACTTTTGTATAAACTAGGGGATGAATTTCAACGGGTTAACAGTTGTAACCTTCTGAAATTGTTAGGTGCCATGACGACGGTGCAAGACTCGAGGAGTTCGTCCATGTCGTGGCGACATGGCTTCATGTGGAGACTCATCAGCTCACAGAACACGCGGTTCAAGTTCTCCTGTAAAAATACGCAAACATTTAACCGGAAGACCATTCACTAACTCCGAGAACTACTTCAGCAGCTGGTGATAATATACTACTGGATCATCAGAGACATGACAGTTGATGATCCCTCCATCACTTTTCCACACTTTTTCTCTCTTCACATAGATCGGTTGGAGATCGCAGTGTAAAAGGTTCAGGTTTATCAGAGAGCGCTGCTGTCCGGTCTTTGCCCAAGGTCCCTTAGTGGGCACCCACGAGATGAGTAAGAGAATAAAGAGTCACGCCCACCCTCAGCGCGCGTGCAAAGCGTGCATAGCACACGGGCGCATCATATCGGGGATGATCTTGGTGGAAATCGAGCGACTCATTACCTAATATTCAACAGAAAGCATAAGAAATACCTATCATCGCTTGGAAAAATTACATACATGGTAAATCTTCTTCTGCTGCATGTTGTAGAAGTGGACGATGAGCGAGCAGTAACTGACGAACACGTCGAACACTTTCTCGTCGTCCACGTCGAAGGGCTGCGCAGTCGTCTTGTTTGTTAGCTGGACCACGCCTGTGTCGACATCATTATGTTTTACTTTGATTTCATGGGGGCTACCGTTGCAAAAACCAGATGTCGCTAATTTAGCAAGACGGTTTTTAGTCCAATCACTGCGGCTGTCAAAATTTTAATGACCAATAGTGTGACTCTAGCTAATTCCCTATTGGATGAAAATACGAGAGGTTTATTATGTTACTTATGACGGAATATATGAGTAGGGGCACATGCCTGTAATTTGCCTAGTCGATTGGTCACAAGCGAGCAGGGGATCTCGGGTCTAATATTCAGGTTTGGACAAAGTTCTATCGATTTTTTCAGTTAGCTATTAGAAAATTCTTACTATTAGCATGGAGCTTAGAATTGCATCAATCGATCTCATGATTTTTCTCAGATTATTCGACCAAAATCTTGAACCTGAACTCGATTACCTACTTAATACAATTAAAGTTACCAATAACTCCAGTTTTGTCCGTGATGGGAGACACGAGACAGGACCTGACAACGGTGCCCGTGGTGGGGTCTATCTCTTTGGCAAACCGAGGGTCCTTGTAGGCATCCCTCACGTTGATAGACTCGCCAGTGCGGGCCACGTAGCCGGCTGGAGTCTGCTCTAGGGATAAACTGAAAACAGACGAAAAAATAAATTAACTACTTTAACCTAATACCTTCTATTAGATATAAGTACTATTTTGCTTTTCAAATTGGACTACTGCTTCTAGTGATCACCGTGCTCGACTTACAAAGATCTACTGCCTAGTTAAGCAGAGTGAACTGGTACAATTTTCAGAAATAGACACAACTGGCAAAACATTGATAGCATTTAATACCTATATGCAGTTCTGTGTAATATCTCTTCGGAATACATAATGTGGTGTTTTAAAAACAATTATTCAGTTATGATAAAAATTCAGAAGTAAGTAATAAGTATGTAGTTCAAAAAGAGTTTACAAACTTGACTTTGAGCTTCTTTTTGGGCATAGTGGTCTTCTCACTGGACCAGCCATCGTCCCACATGTCGGCCTGCATCAACTCACTGATGTGGTCCTTGTCGATAATGTAGAAACTGCTGCGCATCGCTCCGATAAACGATTTTACTACCGTCTGGCGACAATATAGTTACAAGGATCATCTTTACAATAAATAGATTTTGGACATTATAACAAAAGGCCAAAGGCGAAAATCTATTAAATAAATAGTCGTCTATTGCAAAAAAGGTCAACAAACTGCATTGATTTGTCGGGCACCAGCTAAAAGCCCTACAATAGAGTGCAGTTTAAATTGATATTTGTGTCAGTGCAGTGCATTGCTCAATTGCAAAATTACTAGCATCCTCGTCGCTTACTCGACTGATTTTATAACTGGAAGGGATCAAGCTATGAAGCAAATAGCGAAGACTGTTTATCAATGTTTAGGTCTATAGAGGTAGAGTACGAAAAAAAATCTCTTACACTCAAACTGCCATTCAAAGGATGACTGATTTAAGGTTAAATATCGTTAGGTACCCTTTTACTGACTAGTTAGCGCAGGTTAATGTTTCTAATTTACTAGTTTAATCTAAAAGCCAAAATGAACTGCGAATACAGAATATGAATGCTTTCAGCGACATAAAAGTCAAGAGGCTACCGCTTGTCTAATTTTTTTAAACTTACGCCCGAATACTGAAAGTCTATTCAATTAGTTGTAGGTACGTAATAACGTAGATATCGTTCCAATCTCTGTCATTTTACAAAAAAATTGTAATGACAGAATTATACTTAACCGCGATCAATAATTTTCTTACCAACATATCAGTAAGCATGGTATCAATAGAAGCCAGGTCACAGAAGTAGTTCTGCAGTAGGGCACGCAGCTCAGCGTTGAGATGAGCTGTCTTCTGTAAGGTGACCCTCGCCTGTGCCTGGTGGACCGCGGCGCCGGCCCAGCAGGCCACGCTCACTACTGTGTACACTACGTTCTGGAAATGAAGGGAATCGATATAGATTATATCTTATGTACCTAAACGACTTTCGTGTCTGCCGCATAGCAGTAGGATGGGTAGACGGGTTTAAGTAATGTTTAACAGCTTTTCAGGATTAGCAAGTAAATCTCAAAACGGGAGGCCCGTTTTCTGAATGATTATGATAAGGCATCCCATGTAGAAAAAACATCTAACATCGTCATAAATCTTCGAGTTAGTTCTGTACAGCTCCAGCACAGCGTAGCAGTCTCCGTCCGGTTTGACGACCGGCATGCAGAGCGCCACCTTGGCGTCTATCCACCGAAGACCGTCAGAAAACCGTCGGTCACGTTGCACATCTTCTAGAAGTAGGAACTCCTTTGTGTACGCGACATGTGCTGCTACTGTTTTGCCTTCACCTGGAATTTATGGAAAAGTTTAGATCGGGCGGCAACTGGTATAAAATCTTTGCACAACACTGGTCCCTGTTCTAATTGATTAATGAATGGGCGGACATTGTGGTGGTGGGGGCATTCATTGAAAATGTAGGTCGTTTTGTTGATGGTTTTATGGATGGATGGAAATTTTCTTCTTATTCAGTTCTGTTTACAACCACTGTCGTATATTAAACTCGCCAACAGCACACCGCTAAGCTTGATCTTCTGCTCTTCATGTCCAACTATTGCCATCTTGCGAGTATCATCAGTTTATGTACAAGAAGGAATAGTATTACAACATCAAGACTTACGTATGGTCATATTTATTTCATGTCGATCGGGATTCTCCGTGTCCGGGTGCATCAAGACTATCTCGTTCTTCAACTTGTCTACGATGTAAACAAAGACTCCTGGAAAAACGAATCAATGGAAGCTCATCGTTGAAGAAAATCTCCGCATTAATTTACCTGGTACCTAATGGTACATACGAGTACTACGTGTAGGTAGATACAGCAAATAGGTTTATAGGACTTGAATAAAACTAGTAGGTTATAAAGTGGCTGTTACAATTTGACATGTGCTCATCTACACTTGCACTTAGATATGCTTTCGAAGGGTACCTACTTAGTTACATATTTCTCTAAGCAACACGCCTTTTACGCATCCAACCCTTGCCAGTCGCAATCGTTACTGATATAGACACTCCATTTAGCTGGAGAGCATCATTATCATTGGAATTATTACACAGTTTCTTGTGACCCTGTTCATCTACAGGGTAAATTAACTAAAAATCGCGGGTTACTCACGTGAATATACTGAGAAAAGCTTTACTTAGTTAATTTAGTATGTCTCACGATAGTTATTATAAAAACACAGCTACAGGGTGTTCAATATTATACCCAGATACGTGTTTAAACCCTTCAATTATATAAAGTGCGTGTACAAAACTACTATACTTATAACAGAAAATTGGCTACTAACCTGTACTATCAGTGACGGTCTTCAACACCATAGCTGTTTCATAGAGAAGTGACTCCAGGTCCACCGTGTCCTCCAGGAACACGTTGAACCTGTTCATGTCCAGATATCTTCCAGCTTTCTCATCTTCCTCCTTCAGACCTACGTTTGTGAAGTGGTACAATTAGGTACCAAGGTTTAATTTGTAACTGGCGTAGGTACTTATATATTGTGAGATTATGGCGAGATAGTAGTAAAACGTCGGCCCACTAAATATAAAAAAATGCCACACAGAGAAAGGCGAACCCTTTTCACTTCAAGTAGAGCAGGCCTAGTCCAACACAGAAGCTGATTAAACCTAGAGAGCGCCGAGAGCCTGAGTAGGAAGACCCAGTTTTGTTTGGAGTCGCCACTTGTGCCTAGTTTGCTTAAGGGATAATACGGCTCTGGTCCAACAGTACACTGCTACGATTGTACGATTACAGTTGATTGATTAATTGATTCCTAATTAGGATCTTGTACACTAAATAGAGGGACTTTTAGACTGTAGGCTAAAGGTCATCAAGGCCCGAATAGGTTAATTGCTTATGGGCAGACGTGCTCCAATTCCAATGTATAGGCAGCATGCTTACCACAAGGCGAGATAGTGGCTAAACGTCGGCGGTCGGCCAATCAAATATAAAGAAAGAAAAAGAATCTACGAGGTCCTCGGTTTACACCAACTGTCAATGTTCCCATGTTGGATCTGGTGATCAGATAGTTGATTGAGCCTTACCTTTTCGTTCGATTTGTGCATAAGGAGCTATGACTCTCCTAGTCACCTTATCCAACTTCTCTGTAGGCACTAGAAAATGCGACTGTGTCTGGTTGATGGTGTCCATCCGATTCTTTGTAGACCTAACATGTTTCACCGGCTGCATGATTGTAAATTAAATTAACAATTAAAACTACGTAAGTACTAAAATGAATATGAAATTCCCTTTTTAAAGTAAGCTAAAATAAAAATTGTGTTATTGATTTTGTAACAGCTGTCAATTCTTATTTCGAAAATACTTTTTTATTTTTATGGCAGTTGTGCATAGTTAACTATTGGAATTAATACCTCCTTGAACTTTTGACAACGTAACGCTACGGACTCACACGCGCTCGCCGCGTTGGCGAAATGGAGATTTATTTTAAAAAGTATCGAGATCGCTGTTTTAATGGTCCCGCAGATGCCGCGGTTGCGATAATCGCAAACTTGACGGTTGATTTAAAAATATAGTTTGAGCTAATTTACTGGATTTTTTTTATGGCATAGGTAAACCGGTAAACGAGCAGACGGATCACCTGATGGTAAGCAATCGGCGTCGCCCATGGACACCTGGAACACCAGAGGCGTTACAAGTGCGTTACCGGCTTTTTGGGGATTAGGAGTTTGAGGATCGTTGGAGATTCAGGGATTGGGTAAGGGGAGGGTAATTGGGCCTCCGGTAACCTCACTCACACGACGAAACATAACGCAAGCGTTGCTTCACGTCGGTTTTCTGTGAGGCCATGGTTTCACTCCGGTCGAGCCGGCCCATTCGTGCCGAAGCATGGCTCTCTCACACTCACACACAAACTCAAACTAAGTTTTTTTAGCTCAATACCTTGTGGTTTGTAATATCCAGATGTTCGATATTAGATATGGGTATTTAAAATAAATAAAACAAAAAAGAATATATTTTTAAAGTAATGTATTTCCGATTTCATTCATACAAAATAACTTAGCTACATACAGTAATATGTACAGTCGATACAAATAGCTACAAACATTGTAGACACACTTACAAACATAAATCAACACTGAATCCTTTAAATTTAAAAGCACCCGGTCCAGACACAATTAGAGCGCAGGATATTATATGTATAAAAAAGCGAATAAGTCCGGTTATAGCTTTATTTATAAACAAAACACTAACTACTGGCACCTATCCTGACATGTTAAAAAATGCAATTATCCGTCCTATTTACAAATCAGGTAGTCATCTTGAATATGTAAACTACAGACCTATTGCAATACTGTCTGTTATTGATAAAATCACAGAAAAAATTATTGTAGGTCAGATTAGCGGGTTCTTAGAACAACATAAAATAATATGTGACACACACAACATGGTTTCCGCAGAGGACGAAACACTGTTTCTTCTGCTTTGTTAGGCTTTTCAGATTACATAAATAAGTCGCTAGACTCTGGGAAACAGGTTATAGCTCTTTTTATCGATTACAAAAAGGCATTTGACACATTAGACCATGACATATTACTACAGGCAATGGATGATTGTGGAAGACGCGGGCCCACAAATGAATGGTTTAAAGACTATCTAACCAATAGGAAAATAAGTACAATGATAGCTGGTAAGACAGGGAAAGAGGCGGATGTCGACTTAGGTGTGCCGACTGGATCTGTATTCGGGCCAGTAGGATATATAATGCATGTGAATAGTGTGTCAAATGTCATCGAAAAATGTAAGGGGTTCATGTACGCTGATGATATGTGCCTTATTTATGCATCCAAAAATATAATGGAAGCCCAAAAATTTATACAGGACGATTTGAAAATATTAGCAAATGGGCACACGATAACGGAATTATCTTGAACACAACAAAAACAAAAGTTATGCATATACACTCCCCGTACAATCATATTGCTAAATCAGTAGATAAGGAACATATCACAGTAATAGGACACACATATGAATGTCTACATAGAAATAAACATAACTGCAGTTGTAATAAATTAGACTATGTACACAAATTCAAATACCTAGGCCTAACAATAGATACAAATTTCAACTGGAAATTGCATGTTAACGACATTTGTAATAGACTAAGATCTGTATTAAGTAAGTTGTATCAATTAAAAAATGTACTGAACAAAAAGACTCTCAGATTAGTTTACTTTGCACTTGCAGACTCGTTAATAAGTTATGGACTACTTGTGTATGGTCGAACATTCATATCATATATAAAGGATATTAAAGACATACAAATAAGACTGATAAAGTTCCTAGTAAGTAAAAATGTTAAAGATAGTTGCAAGAAAGAGTATGATAAGTTATTTCCTATTTGTAAAATAATACCCATAGATAAAAAAGTAGATTATTTAGTTGGTTTGCAATATATTATAGTGACGAGTTTAAAATTAATGTAAAGAACAAGTACAACACACGTAGGGTTAGAGAGAATAAACTAATATTACCAGTAATAAAAAACTATTATGGCAAAAGAACATCTGAATACTTAGTTCCTAATGTATTTAATAGAATAGATTTACTGAGAAGAAGGAAAAAAGTTTACGAAAGGATCTCTAAAGTTAAAATTAAAAAGATTTATGTTAGAGTATTAATAATAAATAACATTGTTATGTCTTGTTTGTTTTTTATTGTTATTTTCATAAAGATTTGTTTGTTTTTTTTTTTTTTTTTATTATTATTTTCATAAAGATTGTTTTATATTAGGTATATAAACTATGTCGAAGTAAGTAATAAGGGATATTATATGTGATGGGATATTTAAATGCTAAAGAAAAAACTATGTAAGAATTACTAAATTCACTGTTTTGTATTAAACTGTACAAAGAGCGCCTCTCGCCATCAAACGTTACAGTTTGGCGAGTTTAGTTTTTAAGGACACAATTTGTAATAAGTTCACTGAATAAATTATCTAAAAAAAAAAAAAAAAAAAAAATATGAGATACAGACACCATAATAAGTAGTACTTAAATAAACAATAAGAAAAGGAGATATCTGAAGAAAACATACAAATCCGACACAGAAATAGTTTACATTATCTTGTGAAACCAAAAATTTTTCACTGTGTAAGTAACGACGGCTTAATATTAATGTGAAATGGAGAAGAAATTATGTAAATGTCTTTTATGATTAACAAGCCAGGTATGTGACAAGTAGTCAAGGACCACATAAACATGTTGATTTACACAACTCAAAACTCCATAGTGTCCTTAAAATTTTTTCACACAATTTTTTCTTCTTTTTTTATGACTGGGTTTCCCAACATTTTTCCTAAATGGTTGGAAAACATTGATCTATTGCAAATTCCCCCTACAATCAAACCTCGACTAGTAACACAATCATTCTTTCACTTCGTTTGGCATCATCATCTAATAACACTAAACATATGTTGTTTTTGAAATAACCGTCATTGTATGATAAAAAAAATAGTACGCATCACATAATTTTGAGACGCTAATGATTGTACGGCCATTTCCATGTAGGACAGTCAGGCTCTAGTGCTGCGCAATCACCTTTATTGTATAGAAATGACAGTGGAAGCCTTCTAACTGAAGTCTAATGAATATACTGTTGAATAGCGTATTTCTAACTTACAACTAATTTCATGTACTTATTGAATCCAATGGTTTTTTTTATAAAATTTTGATATAAATTCCTTATAAACAAATATAAGGTAAACGTCGCCACATATCGTAATATTTTAAGCTCAGATACATTATTGTAACATGCTGTATATTGTCAGAAAATTAAAATTTTAGGTACCTAAATAATTTTTTCACCAAAAGTGAATATTCTACAAACCATTATTTGTTATTTAGTTGCCAATTGTCATATTTTTTTTAATTTACTAGAATTGCTTATTAATCCTTAATTACATATTTACAATATTGTTGTTTATTTTTTGGTAACTTGCAAACCAATTTTCTATAGCATTTTATTTATATACCAATAATAGTTTACAGCAAACATTATTTATATCATTATTTTATAAGATATAAAATATTATTTGCAATGGTGAAAAAATATAATGATTTTAAATCATATTACGACAGCTTTATACCTACTCTTGCAATTATTATTATACCATAGATACAATTTGTGTACTTATAAAATGGTAACATTTACAATGACATGTATAAGATGAATAAAATGTATGAAACTTCTAAACTTGTCTTTATTCAACTTTTCTTAACTCGGTTGCCAAAGAAGAAAAAAAACCTTTTCTTAAGTATGTTGCATAATGCAATTGTTCAGAAATGTGATCAAAATTAAAACATAGTTCAAATTAGTTTTATGCAACGGAATAAAAATGTGGACACATTCCTCACATGAGAAGAGTTCACGCTTAACCCGTTAAAAATTGTTGAAAATCATCCCCTAAATTTGTTCATACAAAAGTAGTCTTCTAAACATTGGAAATAAGGTCTAAAATGTAGTTAGCGGAGAGCGGTCACCGGTGACCGCTTGGGGATACACGGGTTAAGTGCTCTTACACACTAGCGGCATATTACCAACAGCAGAAGTAACTGCAGCCATCAATGCGCTTTACAATTGATTGTAATTAACATAATTATAAAATAGTATTTGTTACCTCTTGCATAAGTGATATTGGTTTTACAAATGTAAAACTATTTATTTCTTTCATAATAAGAAATAAAGAGATAGACGAATCTATATCTCCAAAATATACAAATCCGTACCTAGATCATGATGGAAACTAAGTTACAAGTTTTTCATTATTGTCATTGAGATGGTAAAAAAATGTAATACAGTACTGATGACAATCACGATGAAAGTAAATAAAGTTTATATTCACATTTATGGATATGTTATCGGTTTCCTTTCTTTCTTTGATGGCGGACTGTCTGTTGTAGTTGTCTGGAAGAATAGAAATAACATAAACATTTGATAGGATTGAGTTCTTAAGTAGTGATAAGAGGCATTGTCAAGTATAATTTGATTTGTCAAGTCTTAAGAAATTCTGCTATAGACATGATGGCTTTTTGAGAAATTGACATGACATACAACTGATCCTGGATGAGTGGGATTTAAAAAGACTCACAATTTTTATTAGGTACTTCTTTATACAATGTTTCATTATTGCAAACATATAGATGTCAAAGTGTTGAATATAAGTTAGTTTTCAAGCAGTATAAGAGAGAATTACTTACGGAATCAGCACATATTTTCCTTTTATTACAATTGGGGAAGCTTGTATTTGTTATGGGTGATATTGTAGTTTCAAGTCTAATCCTCTTTGTGTGACTAGAGTGGCAATCTGGCGGTGGTTTCAGTCTATCACAGCCTGGGTTACCTTTGTAAACCTTACCCTCTTGATTATTCATGATATTTAACTTTTTTACCGGCTCAGGACTCTGTTGGCGCGATTTGTTTAGTATTTTACCTCGACCGGAATCTCTGTATTTTCTTTGCCCGTGAGGCAAGCAATAGTGATGAAATATATCCAATAGTTCATCTCTTTGCAAAAGACCCATGTTTGGCACTCGTAAATGCCTCTGTAAATAAAAAATAATAAAGATAACTCAAGGTTTATTTTTGTTTTGACACAATAACACCATGAAATAAACAGTATTTACAACCTCTTGGATAACTCTTATTAACTGCTCATTACTTAAAAGCTCCGGATGCAATAACATATCAAACGGCACCGACATTATTGGAACAAAACATTACTAAATAAGTAAAAAAATATAAAAATTATTTCAGAATTTCATGCCGCCTCTCAGAGGTGTTACAAGTTTCAACTGGTTTTATACAATGACATTGACAATTTCCGTCAACTATTGACATTGACATTATTGACAGTCATACTATAAGCGTTTACGAAGTCAACGACGAAGAATTAGAAATTATAATTAATTATTCTTTTATTTTTAATAATCAATTTATTTATTTATATGCCATTATTTTTTTAAATTTTGTGTACATCTAGTCACTATTACAAATATAATAATGTTGATAAAGAAAAATATCCAAGATTGTTGCCATACTGATGAACCATAAAGAAGAGTAATAACCATACTGTACAAGCATGCTTCATAAATACTAATAGTGAAGCCCGTAGCAACCACTACTTTGTTCAAAAGTTTTATTTTCTAACGATCTCTTTTGTACTTATATGTAATATTACTAATTAGGTATTTGTGCTAAAATTGTTTGGGTATCCGTTAATCCAAGTTCTGATTATTTTAGGTTTGGTGGTTTGTAAATAGTTTAGTTTGGTTTTTTGATCTTTTCGCAGCCCTAGCCATCTGGATTACTCTATGGTTTCTGTCAATAATACACAGTGCTGCTTGTCATTTGTGTGCTTCGATTGTTTGCTTTACTGTTTCCTAACGTTTTATTTTGGACTCTGAAGGAATTTAATTCAAAATAAGTTATTCTAATTTTAGTGACTGATGTATTGTTAGTTAACTTTCTCTGTGCATTTGCGTCTATTAGTTTAGTTTATGTGTGCAGCGGTGCGATTATTATTTTGTATTTAAAGTAAATATTAACGCAACAATAAATTAATGTTTTTGAATAATAAGGACGACAAAACCCGGGCTTTAGTGTAACTTAACGACACTCAAATGCCAATTGCCGCTGGAATTTCGATGACAAATTCAGTCGGGGTGTGTGTGAGAGCGCGGTGGGACTATGTTGTTTCTCAGTGCCTTAGCGATCGGTATGATAGGTGGGCTGCAGAATGTGACGACGGAGGTGCCCGCTCCCAGCAGTGACGGCAACGACGGCAGCGCGGTGACGAGTGTGGCGGAGCGGGCGGTGCGCGAGATGGGGCTGGTGGAGACGACCAAGTTGTCGGGCCAGTCGGGGGACCTGGTGAACGTGACGGTGCACGAGCGGCCCTCCATGTGGGACATGTACCTGAACCACTGCCCGAAGTGGCGGCCAGTGAACCATGTGTTTTTCCAAGTGGCCAATGTGTTCTTCCTGTTGTCGTTCCTGGCGCCACACACGGCGAGCGGGCTGGTGTGGCTGCGCGTGGCGCTGATGCTGGGCTGCGCCTTCTCCGCCATGTGGGCGTGGAGCATCGAGTGCTACCTGGACGCTGTGCTCTGGAACAGTGCTTTCATTGTGATAAACTTCATTTACTTCTCCATACAGTTTTATTTGATGCGCCCCATCAAGTTCCACAAGGATATTGAGGAGGTAAATATCATTTATTTGTTTTGTCTTAATATATTATTATTTCCCTATTATCTTTGGTGATCTTATCTAAGTAAAAGTAATCACCAGACACACTTAACTATACTTTATTAAGTAGCAGTAAAACTTAGTAACTCTAAGAATTAACTCGTCGAGTACCGGTTTTATAGACACAATTAAAGAACAATAGGTCGCGGTCACCGGTGACCGCTTGGTGTTTGACAGATTAACATTAGAAAAACTTAAGTCGAACCTGTACATAAAAATTCTTAGAATTGTAAGTTAATATTTTCATCTAGCTCACCAAATTAGTATTTCCAGCCATACAACCACAACTAACCATAGATAGATGTATTAATTTTTTTATAGAGATGTGATCAATAATTTTAGCAAGTTGGTGAGTCATAGGTCAATCATGTTCAACTCTCAAGGGCTTGAGGTCAACCAGTAACCTGTTTGTTTCTGTAAATATAAATTAGTTGTAACATGTTTTGATGACATCATACTGAAAAACATGTGCAAAATACTTCATAATAAAAATTTTAAATTGAGGATTAAGAAAATAAGGTATAAACTTTTATTGTATATTATAAATGAACACAATGATTTGAATATGGAATTAAAATTTTGGCATCCATATTGAATCAGTAACAGGCACATAAATGTATGCATAATTACTTTTGGCATAAATAGGGGTGACCATGATGTTTTATTTTAAACTAGGACATATTTTTAAAATGATATTTTTTCTAGCTCTCTTTTTTATAAATACAATAGGTACTTAAAAGATAATTACACCTAATGAAAGATTTTTGCAAAAGACCTACCTTACACCCTGTTAAACATTTGTTATCTAACATTACCATGAACATGACATTGCATTTCAATGTTATCATGATAATGTTTTAATAAAACAGCAGTACCTAAGCAGTAAAACCTAATGGCTTTATTAGAACCATGCTAAATGAAAAACTGTTTTAGTTCCTGTTTTCAATTTTACGTATTATTTCATGAGTTAAAAGTTATGTATTTTGGTATTGTTGAACATAGCTTATGATGTTCAATGGCGCCATAATACGTAAAGAAGTAATAACTAGTTAAAACTACTATCGTAGTTACAGCCTATTATTTATGATGAAGGACTTATTGCCCTCTCTTTGAAGTCTGTCCTACAAAAGCTCATTAAGTGAAGGGCGAAAATCATGGCGCACAGTCCAGCTGTACAAAGTCATATAATTTCTAAAAATAAACACACTTCATCATTTCTGTGAACTGAGATTTTTATTTGCTTCACGCAAATAAGTCAGTTGTTAATTTATGTCGGGTTGTGTCAGCATACTCCATTTTAAATGCAAATTACAACAGTACCTATTCGAGAGCACTCGGTTCGTACAATTTGTCGATTTCCGAGCCTGATAATTTACTTATCATAACTACACGTCGAATCAATACGTGTTAATATGTCCGCAATTACTACGCGTCTGATCTCATTACGGATTTATTTACTCGAACAGACACGAACTGTGATACCTGATATAAAATAAAAGATTATCGTATAACGGTATATGTTTGGTATTTTATTGATAATATAATCCCTAGTTTCTGAAATATCAAATCACACTACCGGGTACATAATCGCCTTTATTACGCGAAACAGCGATAAAATTAATACGGTTCTTTATACTTATACCTTAAAATCATAAAACTGCGCTTAAATTACTGCCTATGTTTCTTCTTTATGATTTTATCGTCATGATTAAAATACACGTGCAAAGTTAAGATATGTAGTTTTGAGGTTCCTATCTGTTAAAAACTTATTGTTTTACTATTACTAGGTATTATTTTATCAATTCGAGAATCTTCATAATCAAAGTCCACTGACATTCTTTTCTTTCAGGTAGATATGAAATAAACACCAATAATTTGATGCATCCATCCATGTACGCCTACTTCATTTTAAATAACTTACAAGCCTACCATTTGAGTATCTATTTTTAAAACTAATAAATATAAGAACTTTACCCAAACCGTGAATCATATTGGTTTCGAAAGTCGATAGAGTAGTGAGTATGCGGTAGATTGCGGTCGACGCCCGTGGTTGAAAGCACAGGTTAAGAACAGCAACTAAACTAAGTATATCACATTTCCTAAATACATAATGTACCTCATAAGTCATTACGACGTGTGTTACGTTGCATACGTATTAAATTTCCTTTTAATGTCCTCATTAAAAAAATGCATGGCTACCCTAACTTGTGTGGAGAGGGTTGAAATTGCATTTGCCTGACTCGTAATTATTCGTAACTAAAGTATATTCATGTATAGATCACGCATACATGTATGTGATGTCGATTGTCGATATCCGATCCGCCGGATGGCACTAGTAAATAATTCTGCGATGTAAATGGTACACCTAAAATGTGTGAATAATTAATCAGAGCTATTCGACGCCAGTGACGCGTCGCTCAATGGTTTTGTCGACGGATATTAGGGCTTCACCCCAATGAATAGTTTAAGTAGCTGTTGTCTTTGCACAATAAATGCTAAAGCTTCTCATTTAAACACGTGTACAGGGACCCCACCATAAAGCCTATAGTCACATAACAAACATGTTTCCCCTAATACCATGTCTCCGCAAGTAATGATCGATTAACATAACTCGTACGGCAAAGGACCACAAAATCGATTGTAATCTAAAAGCCTTATTAATTTGGCAATTATTTATCTTGTAAATTATTTGTTAAAAGCCGACTAGAAAGCCATTAGCGAGCAACGCGTTATTCACACAAAATTGTCCGCGTACTGATCAAATCGTTAATTATACTTTAAATAATGCAAACTATTTTCTAATGAAATTCGAAACTTGGTTGGCATTTTCGTTACCTACATAGAGCCGGGGAAACGATAATGTAATAATAATTTTCAATATAGAATCAAGGCTCAGGGCTCAGCCTAATTGGGCTCGCTGTCATTGCAGCGGTAAGTCCCCTCTTTGAGGAGTGGCTTGAGAGACGCTACGGCGTCCTCACCTACCGCCTGACGCAGGTGCTTACCGGACACGGAAGTTTCGGTAGGTTCCTGTTTCGGATTGGGCGGGAGGAAACGCCCGGGTGTCATCACTGCGAGGATCGCCCGGAGGACACGGTGGAGCATACGGTGGCGGTGTGTCCTGCGTGGACTGAGCACCGCCGTGTCCTCAGGAATGTGATCGGCGACGGCGACCTCTCGCGTCCGGCTCTGGTTCAGACCATGGTACGGAGCGAGGGGGACTGGGATGCCGTCTCCTCCTTCTGCGAAGCAGTCATGCTAGCTAAGGAGGAGGCGGAGCGCGTGAGGGAACGAACCTCCTCACGACCCGGCCGTCGCGAGAGACACTCCGGGCGTCGGGGATCGCGAGACGATCTCCGGCCACCGTAAGCACGGGTCTGCGGACGGCGAGCTTGGGTGACTCGCCGCCCGACCAGAACCAGGCCCGTGCGTACGGCGCGTCGCGTTCCGCGCGCGCCTCAAGGAGCCATCAGACCACCACAGATGGGGCCTAACAAGGCTGATGCCGATACGGAGCCGCGGAAGACTTAACGGGTTGCCGGGGCTCCGGTTCGAAGTGCAGGTGTAGGAACGGGGTGGTTTTTAGTCAGTAAGAGTCTGACACTCCCTCCCGCCTCACCCAGGCGGGAGAAGTCATTGGATGATTTTCCCCCCAAAAAAAAAAAAAAAAAAAAAAGGGCTCAGCCTAATGAACGAGGAAGATTTACATTTAAAATGTCAGCTCACCGCATTTGGACGGGGGATTAATGGCTAGATTGCCAACAGTCCTTTCAGTGTGTTCCCAGAGGTCAGTGGGGCAAGACGGAGTGAATGGCCTTTCAGCTGGTGACGTCACCTCCTCACTTACCACCCATCGAGGGTTAAACGTACTTAAAGTTTCACATTTATGATGAAGCACACAACTTTGCAGTTCTTTGCTGTAAGATCGGCGGGATATCGGATTTCCTCTTTATAAACTTGTTGGAGCGCTTCAATGGTCTCGAGATGTTCTACAAAGAAAATACCAATATAAACATTCTTTATTCATACCTACATGTATCTTTAGAAATTAAATTTTTGGTCTATGGCATAAGTTGTTATATCATGACTAGTTCGTGCAGGGCTCGGTTTTGGCAACTATTCAAAGCTCTTACGTAATAGCTTAAAACCGACCTGAACTGTTTACAAAAAATTGTATCTGGTCGGATTTTAATTAATATATGAGTAGGTCTGATTCCTGCTCTGTATGCGAGGAGCAACGACACGTGTATCAGTAACGGTTATCCGCAATGTGTATCTAACTACGTATTGCGGGAAAGCGGCGTGATACGGCCGTACATGTGTTTAAAATTGTTTACACGTCTGAATGGATACGCAACCAAATATTCTGCCCGTTTCTGTTTAAAATTTTCAATCGTTTACTGTGTAGTTTTAAAGTTAGGCCAACCCTAAAGAGTCAAAAACTAATAAATAACTAAGTTTAACGCAAGGAACTCATAGTTTGTTAGCCACCTACTTTCCCCGCTTGCGTAATACGGTTGCGTTGTTGTGTCCGAGTAAACAATTGGACGAACATGTTTAATTGCCTCTTCGCCGTGGTTACGTATAAGCTCATGTATTAAAAATTCGGAGATGTCAGCCCAATATTCATTATAATCCTCCTGCTGTCACCGCCTTTGTGCTAACTGAAGAGCCTTTCGCATTAATGCCTGAGTGAGAACAGAATTTTGGAGCGTACCTAATGGAGTGACACAAAGCCTGTATTTAATTCCGTATTAATTCCGATATTGTAGTCGAAATATCGTCAAAACAAAAGATAGACTAAAGAAATTGGAACATTCAAAGGTCGTTATCCTCATAATGCTTTCCTAATGATTTCGAGCAAAAATGTATTAGAAATTTCCATAATGAAGGTGTGTTGGTACAAATCACGCGACCGCTGCCGAGGTGTTTGGTAACCAAGTTATTGATTTTAT